GCGTGCGCGTGCGCGCGCGCGCGTGCGTGCGTGCGTGCGTGCGTGCGTGCGTGCGTGTGTGCGTGTGTGTGTGTGTGTGTGTGTGTGCGTTTTTTTGTGCGTTTGATTGTTTGTTTGTTTGGTTGGTTGGTTGGTTGGTTGATTCATTGATTGATTGGTGTATTTGTTGATTGGTTGCTTGCTTGTTTGTTTGTTTCTTTGTTTGTTTATTTGGGCGCGGCGTGTTTGTGTCTGCCTGTGTGTGTGTGTGTTTGCGGTTGTCTTTTCGCGTGCGCGCGTTTGGGTTGGCGCATTTGCGTTTGTGATCGTGTTTGCAATTGCGGGTGGGTGCGGTTGATAGGCCAAGCTGCCAGCCATGGTCGGGCTTGGGTTGGGCTACGGTCGGAATCGGCCACGTCGCCATTCTGAACGAACTTGTGCACACTGAAGACTTTGCGAGAGGCCCGGAAACGGGATGGGTCCACCGGCAGCCCTTTGTGGTTTGGCGGTAGGCGCAACGTTTGGGGGCGATGGTTTGTGTGTGTGCGGGCGAGGGGCGGGCGGCGCGGTCCTAGTAGAGTAGCTTGAGCGGGGATGTCCTTCTGAACCCTGCGCGCGCAGCTACTGGCGGTATGATGTGCTATTTTCTGTCGCACGCGCAGAGCGGGGCGCCCACCCCACTAAGCTCATTGGCGCCTGGTCAACCTGCAGCGCCAAGCTCAACATGCTACAAGTTACGCCATTGCGACGCGCATTCGCGCCCCGCCTTCTTCTGGCCTGGGTCGCACATGCTGGCCATACCAGACTCTCGGCTTTCTTGGCGCCGGACTCGGCTTTCTTGGCGCCCGCTGCGCCCTTGGCTTTCTTCGCCTTGGGCGCCTTCTCTGTCTTGGCCTTCCCCGAGGCTTTGGGCCTGAGCATGAGTGTGGCTGATTGTAGGTGGCGTGTTGCAATAGCCAAACGACTGCAACTCCAAAGCGCCCCCTCATAGGGTTGAATGTGAAAACGAAACGGTCACGAGCCAATTGATGCTCAGGCACTTGAGCCATGTTACGGCCAATGTATCATTTTGGCTCATGTGTTGCTGACATACATACTACCGCTACCTCTCTCTCAGCATCTAACAATCAAGTTGAAACCACGCTCCAAAAGTTGGGGCTCCACCATTTCGAGATAAACATATTTACCTTCCCTTCCACGTTTGCGGGAGGTACCTGGAAGATCAACTTCTTGGGGCGACCCTCTGTGAGGTGCTAGTTGGAGAGAGGGTACCCCATCTGAGACGCACCCGGCCACATCAGTCTGCCGGCTGGGCTCCCCGCGCAAGGCCAAGCTCGGTGGCCTCCTTTTGCAGCTTCTCAAAGTCTATGGCCGCCAACACCGCCGCCGCGGCCTTCCTGGCCCGGAACGGAAGGGAGGCGAAGACATGTTTTTTTTGGTGTTTGCTTTTTTTTGGGAGGGGGAGGGGGGAAGCCCACTTTTGGCGTTGAAGGAAAAAGACAGAAACCCAGAAGATGACCGCGGCATCTCGAGATTGGAAACCTTGTCTGGTGGGCTCCAATCAACAATAGGGTCTACGATATGATGGGATCTGGCGACCCTCCCTCGGGCTCGTCAATGCGACCGGCCTTCGGCACTCGTCGGAAGTCAAGCCGTCGAACGTGACTTGGCCGGCGGAAGTGGACGAGAAGTTTTGTAGGCACGGCAACTCCAAAGTGGCCTCGCGCCGCAAGAGTCCCCAATGGAATCCCCTAATCAAGGCAGCCAGGCTGTCCAACCGAAACACGCATGAGAAACATGAAAGCAGGCTCTTTGTCCACACTCGCCGCCGCAAACGCTCAACAAGCTGTTGCTAGCGCAAGCACGAACAGGAAACTCGGTTTGGCAAACACACATCTAAAAGGGCAGTTTGCTGAACTTCTGCAGTAAGATCAATCAGCTCCTAACTCGCTTTGGGCGTCATCTTCCAATACCAACAAAAAAAAGTCCTGCCTGGTATCGCCACACGACATCTTCCTTGGTGGTCTCTCTGCCCAGGACCTTTGCAAGACGGCTTCGCAGCTCATCAACGGCTGGTCTCTCTTTCTTCTTAGCCTGAGGCAAAGCTGGCGAAGACAGGCGCTGACAAGTAAACTGAAGTGAACTTCTTGTCCAACTACAGGCAGAAGGGCCTATGGCCTATGGTCAGGTGCCAGTGCGAATGGAACGTGCTAGCTACTCGTGGTCTTCAGAGCCACGTCATGCTCACACACACGCACCATCAGTTGCGTGCTTTGACATGTTCAGAGACTCATGGAGCAAGTAACCCTGTTGGAAAGCTACTTGACGTTTCTTTGTCACGTAAGACCTTCTTGTACACGACATGACAACCAGTCATTTCCATGCGGAGTACGTAGGCCCTCGGCCTATGCAAACCTACACCAACACAGGAGTTCCGATGATAACCAAAACCACGACCCAGTGCCACAATGATGACCACAACTAACCACAATCTGCATTGGAGAAAAGAATGTAAGGGTCCACCAAACCCCTCTTTCAGAATGGGTCAGTGTCAGAAGTAAATTGCCTTGTAAACAACGAACACCAAAAACAACATCGTTGTATCAAAGAGACTTCCGTCAAGCTCTTGACATTGCTTGGGTGAACGCCAAACTGCGGTTAAGTCATCATGTGGTTTCTGGGATTGCCGAAGGCCGAAGGCCGTGCGTTCAGCATTGACACGACAGAAGAACACATGCTTGACGGGGAACTGAGGCATGGCTAGCACCCAACATGTGACAAGAAGGGCATGGACAGCAAAGCTGCTTCTTTGGGCGGCAAACATCGACGGCCAGTTCCAAAGGTCCAACTTTGCCCCTTTCGCTGGAAGTGTACAGCTCAAGTAGGAGCAGTATGTGTTGCACAAAAGGCCATGGGTCAAAATCCAAATCGTACCCCCAGTGAACAGGTGGTGCACCCACCCCAAAATGGTACCATTGGTTTTGACCCACAGACAAAAGACGAGGGCATGAGTCAGGGGGAATACAACACAAAGACATATTTGGACGCTGGGCATGTCCCGACTCAGCCAGGCAACCTCAGCAGCAAGCTTCACTGCTGGTTGCTTGACCGAGATGGGCGCGTTGCAAAATGCCTGTCCAGTGCTGCCGATATGCACCGAGAAGGAATCAGCCCCTACAGTCCCCAGTATCTCAGCCCATGTTGTCCAAGCGTACATGCTGCCGTGGCGAGTTGGTCGATTCCCGTGATGGGCTGGGATCCTCTTTTTCCCTTTGAGATAGAGAAGCAACAGTCTCTGAAACCTGAAATGTGACAATCGCTTAAAGAGCTCACCTTGGAAAGCCTGTAGCTGGAGACATTCTCTGAATCACCCGATTCTCCCCCACTTCCAAGGCCACTATCTGGTGGGCGGCTATTGTTTTGCTTCCCCGTCTTTTTGGTATAAATGTTGGAAGCCAAAGGAAAACCAAAGGAAAGCCAAGCTTGCAAGGGACCTGAAAAAAGCAGCAATGAAGCCTGCGACAACAAATTGAAGAGACCCATAATTTGCCGATGAGCTTTGTTCTTTAGATTCGTTTGCTTTTCATGTAACATTGTCTCAAGATTAGCCATTTTGTATTTTTGTTCGCGATTCGGGTGTTTGTTTTTGAGAGGGGCACGAAGAAAGGAGTCGAGGTTCGTTTGTCCAGTCATTTTTACCAAGAGAGCGGGTGGACATCAATATTCTTGCAAAATGCGTATGGGGACTGTTGCGGAAGGTGGGCGAGAAGGGCAACATATGCCTGCAGAAGGGAGCTGAAGCAGTGACAAGAAACATGTCCGCGGAAGCAACGGTTTACGCCGCGGAAGCTTCGCGCAAGCAGAAGGTTGAAGAATTTCAAAGGCTTGATTTCGGGGTAACTTTCAAAGGTACGCAACCGATATCACTTGACATGTGTCTTCCTTGAGTGGACTGGAAAAATGAGAAGGCAAGACCCGGCCGTGAGATTCCACATGACACCGCAGCAAAATTTCGCAGCCCCACATCCCAAAGCGATGCGATGTGGCGATCCGGTGTTGATCCCCAGCTTCGACCCCCGAGAGCTAAAACAAGCCCGCCCGTTGCCTGGAACTGCGCCAGCAGTACCAACAACAGCAGCTGGGGCAGAATCTTCCTTCGAACTCCGGAACGAATCGGCATTTTCGGACTTGGCAGGGGACAGGTCAGGCGTCCCTTCAAAGGCACTCTCTTTTTGGACCTGGAGAATTGCCAAGACTGAAGAAATTCCCGTTCTGGTATAGAATCTATCCAGCCTCGCCCGAGGCCGCGAGTCCCGCATTGCAGAAGCAACGACTGCCAGCTTTGATCGCTGGGTTTGCTCACGTGGGCTGTGCAGCTTTGACCGCATCCCTACCTCTCCGTGACTTTCAGAGCTTTGCTGAGCTCGCACCCCAACCGCCGAGGTGCTGTTTTGGGGTACAGTGTCCAAAGATGGCAAGATCGGAATTCATCGACCCCCAAGACTCATGCGTAAGACTTGAGCCAACGCTGAGGCACTTGCTGCGCTCAATTTAAGGGACGACGGCACTGCCCTTGCTTTTCTTCTCGGGAACGTTTTCTGCCACGAATGCAGCTGTGTCGCAGATCTTCCTTGAGCTACGATCCCTCAATGCCTTTCCATTGGCTCCAAAGCCCCCTAGCCAAGTTGGCTTGCCCCTTCTTCAAGTGGTATGTATGCAAAACACCGTGGCCAATTCCAGAAGCACTCCTTCCCACCGTCCAGTCGACAAGCGTGCGCATGAGCACGCGTTGGTGGCCGCCAACTGCATCTTGATGCCTTGCATCATCTGCGCCACGGTGGCCTGACGACTTGAATCGGAGAGCATGCGAATCCAAAGCCACATGGCCATGGGTCAGAATCCAAATTGTACCCCCAGTGAACATCCCAATCCAACCACTAAAATAGACTAATATGATGGGTGGTGCACCTACCCCAAAATGGTAACATTGTTCTTGACCCACAGCCACATTCCACGCGGAAGATACACCACATTCTCGCCGTACGCGTGGCCCAATAACACTCAGACCGCTTGGCTTGAGGCGACCTGAAAACTTAGACTAAGCCCACATCGCCACCAGGCTATGTAGGGAAAATAGGCCCGGAGCTGTCATTTTGTACACGTGGTAGCTTTGAGTGTGGCATCATCCCTGTGAAAGAAGCAACCTCCGGCCTTATTACAATTGATACCCCGTCGCCATAGATTGCTCGGTAACCCAAGGTCTTGTGGGTGTTAGGAGACAAAGAACGACCCAGAGAGCAAGATGCACTAGCGGGCAGAGGGGGGCATAGCGCACAAAAGACGCGCGAAATCTGGCAAGCACCCACATTTCTGCCAAACTTGGTTGCTGGCAAAGCTCGACGAAGCAACATCCAATCCGAAGGACCCATTTGCGCGCACCCAGCCCAACAGCGCTCCCACACATAGCCTCGTCGTCCACATACTCTGCAATCATGGATAGAGTAGAGATACCAGCCACAACCTGCAAGGCGAAAAATCTTGCAATGCTTTCCGCACCGTTCGAGCTGCAAAAGTTGGTTAAACTGGCGCAAGTGCTTTCTAGGCACGATGAATTCTCTGCATGGGACAGCAATACATCTGCCAGTTGGCCAGTTCCGGCATGGCCTGCTTCCATTCGCCCGTTTGGAAGAGTTTCGTGACGGCCTGAGAGGCGATCAAACCTTCAGCTTCCAACGTGGCCAAAGCGACAGAAACGGTTCGCCGAATCTTCGCCCGACCTGCTTCAGGCCTTCCAGCAGAGGTGGGAAGGCATCAACCTGTCAGAAATGGTCAAGCCAGGTGTGCAGAGAAACAAACATGAGCCCAGCGTGTGTTGCTAAAAGATGAGCCCTCATCTTGTTCTGGTACACCCAGCCAGGAGTACAGCATGGACCAGAAATGGCCGCCATGGCCCTTTGTTTTGAACACAAGTTGGTGTTCACAGTTTTCCAGCAGCTATCAAATACTTCCCCTGTCCCTTCTCTAGAATCACTAAAAAAACGCGAACCTGCACGATGCCATCAGCTACTTCCCAAGCGCCTTCACGGCACATCGGCTGATGCGATCAACCTGAGTGAGGCACAAGTTAATCCGAGCCATTTCTTGTGCAGCGAGTGCCCTCTGATTTGCCTGGGCGATTCGTGAGCTCTTGTTAGTTCTACGGCAAAATCGGCGGCAACACATCAACCGATTCCTGTGCTGAAGCATCAATTGGTATGAAACTACTACAAACCCCTTGCAGACCAACACGACCACCAACCATTGAAAGAGTGCAAACTTCTATTGCATGTACCCTACTCTCCATGGTCTTGCAGCTTGCCACCGTTTGGGGCCAAGACCGCCTCCTTGCCAATGTTGAAGAGCCTCAGCCAATTAAAAGTTGCGAGGCACTTGCCCAGTTGGAATGCCGCAAGATTGGGCGGCACTTAACGGGGTCCAGGCTCTTCCTCGTCTTCGCCATCATCATCATCCTGCCCAACATGTGAGCCACAAACGGCTAAAACTTGTTCGAGGACATGGGCAAATAGTGTTGTCCCCCTCCTGGTTTTGTGTAACATGTTGGTCGTCCCGCATGTCCTCACCAACCCAGCAATAAATTACCAACATGTTTGTCAGTTGCTCATGTATCATCTCTCCCTGCACTGGAAACCAGAGCATCAATTTGTGTACCCTTGTTCCCTAGCTCAAGCCCTCAATCCTGCCTGCTGCATCCAGCTCATCACATCGTCATTGAGCTGAACCATGAAGTGGACGCAAAGGTCCAGGGCCTTGGCTCTCAAACTTTCGCCCTTTCGAGCACCGCAAGCAGCGCCTGCTCGATGTAGCTGGGCACCTTGATCATCATTTTCGGTTTGCCCTCCATGAAGGATATGATCACCTCACCCAACCCCACACCCACACTGACCCACCCTGAATCCCTACAAAGCGAAGGCCTCAAAGGCGTACTTCCGGCACGACTCCTCCTGATGAGACCTCACTCCCGAAGCAACCCATTGGGCCATACGTCGCAATCACTTGGGTCGCAGCTTGGAGATGCCGCACAGCACGGGCATGAGGTGGGATGCGATCTGGGAGCCATGTTCGGGCCATGTCAAACAGGGTGTGCATTGCTTCCGTCTTCAACATCAGCCCCCAACAGGCCAACAGGCACGGCCTTTGCATCCAAGCCTAAGGTGCGTTTTTGGGGATGGTTACCACTCCACTGTTGTCTTTTTTGCAGGCGTTCTGGGTGTTCACCGGTGTACCGGGGTTTTGACCCAAAAACATCCGGACAAACTCGCCCCGCCCACCCGCCGACCCGGCTCCGGAACCCCCCGGCGTGGTGCTTGAAGAAGTCCGCCGTCTCGGTGGTGGCCTGGAAGGCTTGCAGCACCGTGTTCAAGTGCCTCGGGAGCGAAAAAACGTCACCGGGATCTCGAGGATTCTTTACGTGAGTCAAAGGACCCCCCCGCCTAAAAAAAAAAGGAACACGTACCCCCCACCCCCCCACCCCAAAAAAATGAAAAGCGAAGTCAACAGTACGTGCCAAAGAAGGAGCTTCTGTCAGAATGCTGGCAAATTCACATTGAGCCCCCCCGAATTGCTGAGATGGCGCGGAGCTGCGTGCAAGCGCCCTCTTTAATGGCCAAGTTACAGTTTCTACTTCCCCCAACAATTTGCTATCGATGAGCACAACCTCCTTGTGCACACCGCCACACCTGCTTTGTGATAGGAAAGCAAAGCATACCTTCTGCTGTGGGGAGGCAGGCAAATGAATCTCCACCTCCCACAACCATGGCACATATCCTCTAAACGTACACTTTACAAGGCACAGTCTTTGGACAGTATCTGACTTGACCGCTGAAGTGGCGTCTGGCAGAGCAAGAGCGCTCCGTTTGAACAGCATTGTTTTTGGATTTTGCGCAGAAAAGAGAGCAACTACGAGCGGGAAAACCGATAGAATTCTATCCAAACAGCAAATCTGCAATATATTTTGGCAGAGGACACACTCCTGGCACTCCTGCGCCTTGTAATCAAGAGTCGCTCTCGGTCGGCGTCGTGAATTTTGAGCTCTGGGTTTCGCGCGTCGGATCACCTGATGCCAGCTGCGCCATGACGTTGCAAACCTTCACGGCCAAGGCAAGCGCAGTCAGCTGTACATCCTCAAGTTTGGGGGGGTCAGAAAAATTGGTTGATCAGCTGTAAGTAGGACTGCCAAACGCTCAAAGATCGGTTCGTAAATTGGCTGATCCACATGATCGAACGGGCAAGCAAGTTGCACTTGGCGGAGAGAAGCGAGGCACGCATTCCCATTTGCATCTAGACATGTAAGGTCCTCTGCTTACGTCATGAACATGGGTACAGGTATATTACATATATACATACATTCCCATTTGCATCTAGAAATGTAAGGTCCTCTGCTTACGTCATGAACATGGGTACAGGTATATACATATATACATATGTATATATATATATATATATGTATACATATATATATATATATAGAGAGAGAGAGAGAAAGAAAGATATGTTTAAATGTATATATAAACACTTATGTTGTATATATATATATATATTATACTGTATACGTATAGCGTGTAGTATAGTATACAGTATAAGCTGGGCATGCGCCAAACTGGAGACCCCCTAAGGATTTCCGCTCTCCCGTCCCCTTGGCGCCTCTGGGATCAGCGGCTGGAAGGGCGTTCGACCCTGGCTGGGTGTGTCACTGTGTGGCGGATACCCTTTTTTGGTCCGGGTTTCGGGAGTCGAAAGGGGACAAAAACGCCTTTCTGGGGGGATGTCGCTTTTTTTTGGGCGCAGGCGGACTTGCATCTGACTCTCACTGGGAAGGGAACAATTGCAGGAATCTTGTCATAAGAAGATCCTAGCACTTCACGGCCGGCAGGGGGATTTCATCGGCTCGTTTCACCCTTGGACGGTGTGCACTCCCAAAGCACTCCCAAACTATGTACGTCGACGATTAATGTGCTGTAGCTGGATGAATAGTTGACTTAAGCTCAAATTGGCTCTACATCCCATTATGATTCTAGAATATGTTCTGTCTGGGCTCCAAGTGGTCCTAGTGAAAAAAAAAAAAACCCTTTCAGGCCTTCCAGGGTTCTTAGAACTTTCTGGGGGGGGGGCTCTGGGGTTGCTAGGGGGGCGTAACAATGCATCCTTGGCTCAGCATCGGCCTCCTTGTTCCAAATGCTGTCCACGAAGCAGCAGAGCAGCGCTGCAGCTTCCGCCTTCACCTGACCAGCTCGGACAAAGCTGAAGGGACACCACTTTGGCTTCGACTTCACTGCCCGACTCTTCCCTACCACCATGCTCACTCAATCTGAAGAACAAAGCAATCGAGCAGAGTAGGAGCCCGCTAGCCGCAATGGCCACGTTGCCGAATAGGTATGCTTTGTAGCTCGCGTAGAGCCTTCCCAACCAGCCAAACCCATATGCGCATAATGTTGATGTAGATGAGCTGGAGGGGCTCCATCTTTCTCCTAACAAGCCTCTTGCTGTTGTCACCTTAGATGCCTCGATGCGTTTCTCCCCCAACCCCCCCCCACCTCTCCCAACCCCTCCCCCCTCCCCCCAGGCACCACCCCCCGTCCCACCACCCGATCCCACCACCCCAGTCGCCCGCCTGTGGCGCAGGATCTGCAACGCAGGTCTGCAGAACCTGACGGACACCAGGAGCGATTGAGGCGCTCGGGTACGTGAGGCAAGTGGAAAATGTAAGGCTGGTGAGATAACCCACGGAATGGAGACTTATACCCATCGCAAGTGGGTTCTAACCATGGTTATTACCCACTTACGAAGTACAATGCCCCTGTAAGTCGTCAGAAGAAACCCTTGCAGCACTCCGGAGATTGCCAGTGACGCAAGAAGCTCCTGGCTCACTTTGCTTCAGTCACGCTCTTAGCCTTTGCCTGGCAGGTTTGGTTGGAGTTGGCCACCAGCATCTGCCACACGGAGCAGGCCAACTCCTGGAGTTTCTACGTATGAGGAGAGCTGATCACATGTGAATGCTGATGCTTCAAGCTACTGAGTCGGAGCCCATTTTCCGAGCGCGCCCCTTTTCGTTGATTCAAGGGAAGCAATCAAAAAACCACCAACCTGGGGGGCGACATGGCCAAGTCCTTGACAATCCACAGGCAGTCGGCTCGAAGAGTGCTATCCTGCTGGCAAGAGACCAACCGATTTACCCAGACGAGCGCAGGTATCCCCTGAACAACACCTGGCATCAGAGGTCGAAAGGGCAGCCGCGCCGGTATCTGGTGGCTCCCCGTACTAACCTTCATGAGGCTGTTGATTGTGGCTCAAGTATGGGCAGGTTGTAACAAATCTGCCGCAGGGACGGCACGCCAACATTCCGCGATATGCTGTTGATGCCCATGGAAAAGCTCGGTCAGCCATTGAGTTGACTTCTTGCAACCACGAACACATGGAGCCCAGAAGTGATGCTGAATATTGCTCTGGCGCGCATTTACAACGTGCCTGTCTCGCGCTTTTTGTCTTTTTGCTCTCAGATTGACGTGGTGCAGCCCTTGGTTGGGTCTTTCTGCGAAACTGCTAGGTGGAAGGGGCCCGAGATTCCCGACACTCAAATTTTCAGGTCTCGAGGCCGCGAAAACGCCTGTCTTACAACCCTAGAGTCGGCGAGTCCAGCCCTGGTCACTTTTGCCTTTGGGAACCCTTCGGTTGTCCTCATCCACCGGAAAACTTTTGATGTCCCCCGACCATTTTGCGGCTCGCTCGTGAAATTCATAGCCTGCAACCTGTCCTTGCTAGGATCGCAGATGATGCGGAAGAGGCTGGGCATGAGCTCAGGCCACTCCTCACAAGATTCCCCGGAGTTTGGCACCCTCCGGGAGTCCCAAATCAAAGAACCTACATCAATATGGGTGCGGGTCAAAGCTCGGCTAACCCCAAAATGAAACCGGTAAATGGAAACAAGGACTAAAACCTGCGGGCCCCTGTTGGTTGCGGGCCCCTGTTGGTTTAACTTTAACCCGCAGCCATACATATATATATATATATGCACAAGCAACGGGGGAGTTCCGTCTCTCCAATGGCCACTCCAAGGTCATTGGGTTGGAGGCCACCCAAACGCCGTCCTGAATATTCTGGGGGCGCTGATCCTCGGCGATGTCAATGATCTGATTGCCCAAGCTTTGTATGCAATCAGCCACCTGCCAGCCACGTGTCCAGATGCCACATCACAAATGGCAGGGGCCTTTCTTCTCAGTTGCGGCGTCGCGTCTGCCTGCAGTGCATCGGCAGATCGTCGCTGTGTGATTCCATGGCACAATGTGGATGCCAGGTGCCATTACCTTCCCGCTTCATGCGGCTCTCAAAATAGCCCTTCTTTTGAAGATGTGCAAGAGCAAACCAAAGACCTGCAAACAGGTCCCCAATTTAGGCAACCCTTATACTGCATGCGGCTCGGGACAAGATATGGGAATCACCTGAGTGAGCCCCATTTGTCAGTGTGTGCGCCCCCATGTTCTGTCCCTTGATGCCGTAGCAAAAAAGAAAAAAACATTGAATGATGGCCTCCTCTCGCAAGCCCGACAAATCCGCAACCGAGCATGGGCCAAAATTAGGAATCCATTGAAATTGGTCTCTTGTCGGATTCCCTTTTTGAAACAGACCCCGAGCTGTCCAACTTAGACCCAAAGAAGGCATCTGTCGGCCTCAAGCAGCTGGAGAAGCTGCCCTCGCACCTCCCCCTGCACATCTTCGGCGCTGCTCAAGTCGTGTTTTTTGATTTTCCGCTTTTCAGCGTGGATGCGCGGGAAAACGGAAAAGAACAGAATCTCCCCATTTGAGACTCGAGCCTGGCTGCTTCCAAGCTGCTGCCACGTGGAGTCCGCATCCTTCACCTGCGAGTCGCGCTCCGATCGCTCCGAGCTCCCTCGCCGGGCCGGGCCTTGCCGCAGCAGTGCCGCAAGAGCACGGCGCACTGCTCGCGGACCTGAAGCTCTGAAAACTGCGAGCAGAGTCCGCTTAGGTGGGAGAAATAGATGGGTTTTTTTCTGGTAGATGACTAAACCACCAGGGAAACCGGGAATCGCCATCTATCTTTGTGAGCAAAACCACCAAAAAAAAAAGGACACCTATGACTGTGAGCGCCGAAACGGCTCGCTACAGACTGTCTGAGCTGTTCGCTGGCATCTCAAGCTCGCTCTGAGCTATGACCTTGCGCGGACGCGAGGAGCCACAGTGCCTGCACTTACAAGTGGCCTTGATCAGAGATGCCACCACCTGTACAGGCTCAGTCCTGAAGCAAAATGCGTAAACCCGCGCGTCCCAGGCAAACTCCGGCACACAGCCAGGACAGCCAAAAGCTCCTCCTAGCGCTGTTGTAGCGTTGCTCTGCGGCATTTCGCACATCGTTGGCTGAACCTCATGCACATGAAAGGGAGATCGGTCTCTCTTTCCGCACCGAAGCTCGATCCTTCGCCAGACGCCGGCGCAAGCAAAAAGTCCTCCTTCTTTGGCGGCTCAAAAAAAGGAGTGCCAAAGTGTGGTCAGCTCTCCCCAAACGGCCTACCTGCTTTTCTGGCCAAAGACATGGGTGTGGCTCAAAATTAAACAGGAGGGCTTACGCAGGTCCATGTTTCCACTTACCAGGGCTTGCGCCATTTTGGAAATTTCCTGCTTTTTTGAGCAGCCACATAGCACGGCACAAGAACCCCCAGACATCGAGCTTCGGGCCCAGCAGCTGCCGGATCGTCTCCACAAAGCTCGGATCCGCCTGGCGGGTGCTGAAGAAGCGAGTCCCCAGTTCTGCCCGGAGGCCGTGCCGCTAAAACCCTACGCGGTGATGCATCTGAACATGGGTGTCCTTGGTTGGAAATAGATGGGTTTCCCTGGAACAAAACCAGGTAACCAGGAATCGAAACCCAACGATTTTTCGACCAAAACAAAAAGGACACCGATGCATCTGAAAACGTCTCGCAGTCAAAGCCCTTGCCGTCGCTCGGATGTCTGAGATGTTTCTTCGCTGAGGATTCCTATGCCATGCCACACGTAGAAAACACGCCTGCCCCTGCCGAGGTGGCGGATTGAACGCCATTCTGAGTAGAAGCGGACTCTGGGCTAAGTTCTTGGTTGATGCTGTTGGTGCCCGCATGTGCTCGAAGTGCAATAGACAAATTCGAGGGGGTGGACCGGTGCACAACCTGAATTCGCTGGTACTTCAGTTCTACGGTAGGAATGAAACTGTGTGACTGGCAAGCCTGAGCATGGTCTTGCCACTTTGCCACTTGGTTGCATGTGCGCTTGAGCTGCAAAATGCTGGCAGACATTCAGTTGCCACGCGCGAAAAGGAAATACCGGAATGACAATAATTGGGGTAGGGGCATGTCTCCAAGGGCTCGCGAGCACCGCATGGCCGTTTCACACCATCTAGGCTAACACTCGTGCACAGATGCCTCAGGCCCTCTGCTGTAATCCCATGCCAGTTGGTATCCTTTGGATAGCCAGTCGGCAAGACCGTAAATCGCTCAGTGGAGACCACTGGAATATGCTTGACCCTGTGAAACGGCGTTTGTCGCCCACAAACTTCCGAATCGGCAAATGCCTAATTGATGCAAAGTCGTGATCACGGTATTGACAGCAAATCAACAAAGTAATCTAATGATTGTCCACATGTCAAAACTGCGCACGGCAATGGTAGTCATCTGCAAATAGCTCGTGTGGTTTTGGGGTAGGAAGTCCCATCAAACATCTCGTAGATACACTCCATCATGTTGGCCGAGTTGAGCCTAGTGACCTCAGGGGTCGAGGGATCAACCTAGCCTCGCGACAAGTCCAAGCTGGAAAAATACCATCATTCCTTGTTGCATGGTAACATGATCCCTTCACATGTCATCATGGGAGTGTGGCTTCCAAAAGAAAGGCTCATGCCCTTCTTCCAAACTCACGGGAAATCTCACTTTGCCTATCCGCCCTTGTCATATGATCAAGCCTTCAGGCTGACAAACCCAAGATGCCCCCTGAGTCGTACACACACGCACATGAACACAACGTACATATGCATGTGTGTATGCAGGCAGGTATGTGTTTGTGTGCATGTGTGTGTGTGTACGAGTATGTGTGCATCTGAGTATCTATATGTGTGTGCATGTGCATACTGTGTATGCGTTTGATTGAATGCGTGTGTGTGTGTGTGTGTCGGTGTTACGTGTATATATGTCTAAGTACATCTTTACATACTTATATTATGCAATCATATATGCCTGCATGGTTGCATGTCTCTGTGTGCGTATGTATGTATGTCTGTCTGTATGTCTGTCTGTCTGCCTGTCGGTCGGTCGGTCGCTCTGTCTGTCTGCCTGCCTGCCTGCCTGCCTGCCTGTCTGTATGTATGTGTATACATGTATATGTCCATGTACAATGTATTTATAATGTCTATGTATGTGTAGGTGTATGTGTGTTCTACACATATATACGAAATATACGCCCACGGACCCTCCTAAGATCATCCTTTTCTCTCGTTTTGCTTGTCTACGTCAAGCCTGTTTGCTTCCTGGTGATTCTATGACACTAAAGAGTTACAGGTGTTGAACCCAAGTCAACAACATGAGGTTCATGTGACAAGCTTCAAGTTCTGAAGGCTTACACTCTTGCATATATATATATATATAGTATGTGTATATATATATATATGCGTATATAGTATGTGTATCTACCGATATTATAAATTTGGGAAAAACTTAACCTGGAACCTAGAAGCTTGAAATGTTCAGCATGACTACGATATGTATGTTGAGAACGGTCGCGGATCTAAACATATACCAAGTTGGATAGACGTGTCTCAAAATGTTGACTGACTGAACGTTTGGTTGCAAATGCATTGAAGTTTGACCTGATAGATTATGACCCTTGTATAAAATTAAGATTTGTTTGTGTTGCGCTCCTCGGTTTTCATTTGTGTTCGTTCTTTTCTGACCCAAACACGATGGAGAGTTGTTTCTCTCGTGGACACTAGCTTCAAGAAAACATCAGTTGTTTTGGTTCGGTTTGTGTTTCGCAATGTGAGAACCTAGATGGCTTGCCCTCAGAATGCAGCCTTGAGGGCCGTAAGGCATGCAAGAAAAGAAAAAGTGTTCGGTCTTGTGCAAAAGCTTGGTCTCGACGGTTGTCTTGAGGCGTTGTTTTTGCTTCAGGTGCTCAAAAACATGATAAAACACATACTACAGTCAAAGACAGAATTCGCCTCCTCGCCCCCATGCTCAAAACCCATGTCCAGCTGCCCGGAAGCGAGCCCACGCGCCCCCAGATTCAGCCCCAATGCAACTCAGTCCAGCCTAGGCAAGCCAGCCACTCTGCCAAGCACGCTCGTCTCTAGCTTGGGCGGATCTCTGCCTCTTCCAGCAGCGCAGCAACTTTCCGATTCCTGCTCAGACCACCGAGCCAAGCATGAAGCCTTTTTGTAGCCCAGCCCACCAGCTTCCCGCGAAACTGGCTGCTTGGTGTGAGGCCTTCGCAGCCCGCCTTCCCCCGACCCAGCCCCCAGCCCCAAGCCCCAAGCTCTCAGCCCAGCCCCAAGTCTCCCAGCGCCTCAGTTTGCAGCCTGAGCCTGGCCCTCAGCTCCCACAGCGCCAGCCACCCCTGCAAAGCCCGCAACCCCCAGACCTCTGCCCAGCCTCGTCAGACCAATCTTACTCACCCCGCCCTGCCCAGCCCTTGCGCTGCAGCACCAGAACTCTCCTCCCAGCCGGCATTTGCTCAAGCCCACATGGCTCTTGTGATTCTCTTGACCTGGCCGAGGCAGGCAGCGCGCAGCGTTTACAATAAGTGTGTATATTTGGCATTGATGCACTGTTCCTGCTCATATCAGTGTTTTTAGCTGAAGGCTGAGGCTCTCAAAAGACAGAAGCAGTAGATAGTGACCATATGCATCATATCATATCATATCATATCATATCATATCATATCATATCATATCATAGGACAGCGTAGCGTCTCATATCGTATCATTACACAGCATAGCATAACATCTCATGTGATGGCACATCACATTACAAATCGTTTATATTTAGACATATCCTCAGGATGTGATAGGTCCTGGGGCGGCCGGGGCCCGCACTCAGCTGCTCTTTGAAGAGTCGCTCCTGGGAGGCTGCCGCCGCCTTGCGAAGCGAAAATTTTCGATCACACAGCGACGGGGGCCAGTGAGTGGTGGATGGTGGGTGGTGGGTGGTGGGTGGTGGGTGGTGGGTGGTGGGTGGTGGGTGGTGGGTGGTGGGTGGTGGGTGGTGGGTGGTGGGTGGTGTGGTGGGTGGTGGTGGGTGGTGGGTGGTGGGTGGTGTGGGTGGGTGGTGGGTGGTGGGTGGTGGGTGGTGGGTGGTGGGTGGTGGGTGGTGGGAGGTTCTACCCGGTGTCATTGGGAAAAAGCCCTCCCACCCAACGAACGTGGAACCGTTCGACGTTCGGGAAATGGCCCCTTTAGAAGGAAAATGGTCCAAACCAGGACCCCCCCAGATCTCTAAATGGGAGACTAAAATCGGGTCTCAATGGGTATGTCTCGAAACGGACCCAAATGATAGATTGCCTTTTGGCTTCCCCTTAAAGCCAACCAAGAGGGGGGGCTAACAACAGCACCCAAATTGACGTGAGGATCGGCGGAGTTCAGCAGTTGGACAGTTGGCGCCCGCAAAGAAAAAAGGCCGCCCACAGTTTCCCCGCAGATCGGCAATGCGCTCAAGGAGCGCAACAGTGAGAACTCTGCAGAAACAAAAAGGTGAAAATCCACTTTGCTGCTTTTAGCTCGCCGAAAAAAAGGAGGCTTGGCCATTCCCCAGTCGTGTGTTGCCCAAGCGCGGCCCAGCTTTCGCTTGGAAAGTCACGTTTGCGTGTAGGGTCGAGCAACAACTCGCTTGGTGCCTGCTTCGTCTTGAATCAGACGTATTGTCCTCATGATATATCAAGTTTGGCAGAAGTGCTGCAACTATACTATCATTACACTCCGCGCTCCCCTTTGTATTGGCTCCGCTGCGATAGTCACTATCATGTTCCTGTTTCGGCAATTCTGAATGTTGCTAGTCTGCCAGATCGTACGGAGTCCCTGTCGCTTTCCGCGATTTGCTCGCGGAAACTTGCCGTTTCTGTGTCGAGAGAGCTGCCCAATCTCCGAGAGCGACACGAGTCCTCACAGCACCGAGAACATGCACGCCCCAAACTCCGCGAGCTGAACCTAGCGCCTGGAAAATCCCAAGCTCTCTAGGGCTGTGGCTCAAAATGCGACCCGCTCGAGCTCCCCGAAAAGCTCGCCTTCTGTGCCGCCATGTTGATCCCGGCGAAGTTGGTGTCCAGCATCCAGCGCATCAGCTGCAAAAAGCCCACCTGGCGCGTTTGGCGCGATGTTCAAAGCCCTCAGCCTGTGAGAAAGACATTCACCTTGCGGGTCAAAAATAGTCGGCAACCCCAAAATGGCTTGCCCTGGAAAGTGGGAACAAGGACCGAAACCTGCGGTCCAATTCCAACCTGAGGTGTTTCATTTTTGACCCATACCCACTGCTCAACACAAACCCCCAGGCTTGGGCCGTCAGCTCAAATGATACTCAGAATGTGAAGTGAAGCGACTCAGGTGGCCTGGTGGCCTCAGGGTTCCCCTGGATGGAATCATTGAACCCCTAAACCAGTGGCTTGCCCATGTTTCCACCAAACCTAAGGACACCTATGGACTCAGTCCAAAAAGCGAAACTGATCCTCGGCCGATCGATCTGAAGGCTCGGCGAAACTGATCTCGTTCTTCTCCGTGAGCTGCACTTTGCCTGCGAGCGAGCCCGGCTTTTGCTCGCGCTCACAAGCGAGTCACAAGCAAAGCCCATGGGTGTTAAGACCGTCCACCCAATGTAAAGAAAACTACAACGGCCGCATCTAATGGTTAATGTAAAGCCCAATGTAAAGAAAACTACAACGGCCGCATCTAATTCTGGTTGACCCTGTTACTAACCTTCGCCTATCCGGGTTTGGATTATGGCAGAGCCTAAGCCCCCAAGATTTCTGCGGTATTGGTGGTATCGAGCTTTGCTCACCAATCCCTGCTTCGCTACTCGCCGAATTTGATCCGGCCCAGCGATCCCTATCAATCCTTTGCAACCAGAGTCCTAAGCCAACCCGAACCGACCCCTGCACCAGCCCTAAACCAACCCTAGACCACCCTAAACCAACCCTGAGCCGCCCAAAACCAGGCCTAATCCAGCACTAAAACAACCCTAAACCAGCCCCAAACCAAGCCCAAGCTAATCCAAATCATGTCGCAGTCTCCTCTGCAGGACCTTTGGGATTTTCGGGATCTTCGGTCAAAATTTCAACTCGGCATTTTCGACCGCCAACTGTGGACTGCTTGAGTCACGCGACTGACACGTGAATCCAGCTGCTGCTTCGCCGTCTGGTTGACGGTCAGATTCAACCTTGGGCAAAACATGCGATCACGATGCAGAAACAAAGCAGCAAGATAGATGTCAGGCCCAAAAAGCATGCGAATGAGCCTAAACTGCCACTAGTAAATCATTTCTTCCCCAACATCAATGTCACGCAACGTCACCACGCCCCCCATTTTGAACATCCGCATAACTTGTTGCTCTCTGGCAACTAGAAGCCTATGTGTTCCTCCATTTCCTCCAAGTTGGGCCTTTCCTAAGTCCAAACAAAGGACAGCTCGATGTCACCAAACAAGACACGCAGGCATAGGTGTCCTTTCAGGGGGAAATAGATGGCCCTGGTAGATGATTAAACCACCAGGTAAACCAGAGCCATCTATTTGTCCACCAAAACAACCAAAAAGGACACCTATGCACGTGCGTGCAAGCGGATTTTGTTCGTCCGGAGGGCGAGCGCAGCAGCTTTTGAAGCAGCGACTGCGTGAGGCCCGGCTCTTCCCCATCCAGGTCCTGGCGGCGAGCTCAAGCCGTCAAGAGAATTGGCGTCCACCAAGCAGTTGGGAGGGCACTCACCATAAATAACCGTAGCCATGTGGGGAAGATAGTGTATTGATAGCATCTTGAACTCCAGAACATGCAGAATTTATGCACATTGCCATCATGACAGAGCAGGCAGCTGGAAACCGGCAACTTTCCCAAGATCCTGCAAGGATCGAAGATGCAAATACAGTTTGCCAAGTGTTGCAGCAAAAGACCAGGAAAATGCGCCCTCAACATAGCACTCTTTGGGAGGAACATCTACTTGTTGGCCTTTTCAATTTCCTTCATCGTAACCTTGGACATATGCGCTCCTCGGTGTCCCTCTTCTTTGCGGCCGTCTCGTGCAATGAGACCTTCCTTTGACAGGATTACTTTCAATGGCCGCACGCGACGCGCTGACAAGATGTATCCCCAACTTCCACTTGCCATGTGTTGTGAGTCATTGGTTAGCCCGAGAAGCCAGCACTGCCTCCCCATCTCGGAATTTCAACTGCTTTCTGAACAGAACAAGTCCTACGCACCACTATGCTTGCGTTTCGCAGGTAGCTGAGTAGCCAGACATCTTGCTTCCAGCAAACAGATCTGCCGAAATTGGATGTCAGACATGCCATGCGAAAGTAGAAGCCCCATCCAACGAGTGATCCTTTTAGCAGAGTGCTTTTCTGAGGCCAGAACTGCCCAAGGGCACCCTCATCGGAGATGCTCACACCGCCGTGTTCTTGGCACAAGAAGCATTTGGTGCCGTTGTTTCTTTTCCCTCTTTTTTTTCTCGCGGGGTCCGCATAGGCCGAACCCAGGGATGAGCGACACGCTCCAAAAAGGGGAAGTGGGTTTGAGACTCAGGGGATGTCTAAACATGGAACCTGGGTGAGCGCACTTTGTTTGGCGAACAATCTGGATGGGATGGGGTTATGTGCGATCTAGGTGCATAGGCAGCATTGCTGAAATCTTGTTTGGCATCGCGGAATGCCGCTGTTCTACCAATCTTGTTGCTTTGCCTCTACAGGCCTGCATGCATGCCAAAAGGAAGGCGATGCGAGCCTCTGCCACTGGTAGTGCAAAATCAATTCCATGACAAAGCTAAGGATCATTCATGTCAGCAATGAAGGGAGCCATGTTCCGGCAAGATGAATGAACAAGGACGACCGAATGCAGCAACCCAGATTGACCCCTGATACTGCGGGTCAAAATGACCATGGACAGCTTTTCCCATGTGGGGAAAGTCATCTTGCTTGGGTGGCTTCCCTCGTGTTCCCCCCATGAAGGACCTTTTGATCAACCCCAACATCTGAGCTGCTGGAGTTCCCTGAGGCCCGGTCTGGCCCAGCTCAAGAACACGGATCGGAAGTCGTCGATCTAAGCGACGGCAACTGTTCTGCCCATTTGGTGATACTGTGGATGGACGAAATCCGTTCGCACTTTGAGACCATGGGGTTTCCCATTGTCTGTTGGTATTTGCCGGGGAATCGAATCATCCCAGGTGTTTCTTTTTGGAGGTGCCAAATGGATCTCGTCCATCCGCAGGGGAGAGTGCCACTTCCTGCGGCAAAGCGCCGGTGCTGGAAGTGACACTCTCCCCTTTTCCGCAGACCTGAAACCAGCCTCCAGAGGCTCCCTCTCGATCTATTCCCTTCTATGTGACAAATGATTTGTCTTGACTGCGCTAAGCTTTCAACCAAAAATCACACACACACACACACACACACACACGCCTGGGGAGGTATCCCAAAAGTAGGTTTGGACCCCTCCAAAGAACCATGCGCCACAACTCTCCTGCCGTGTGCGCATGCTGCAGCGATGCCACGGACTCCGAGTCGGAAGGGGAGCCCCAAGTTGTAGCCCCATCCAAACCGATCGCTTCGGATGCGCCTCCTGCGTCGAGAAGGAGATGGCCTGCAGCGCCTGCCGGCTCTCTTCCTGCAGACCGGGACGCTCGGCGACCTAAATGGAGCTGGGGCGTCGTGTCTTCTACCGGGCTGTGTCAAGTTGCGTCCTGCACCCGCCTCTTGAAATCCGCAGCCGGGGGAAAGCGCCACTAGGACGTTGCCACGAGGACTCGGACAAGCTTAGGGAGTCGGCCTTCAGACGTCGCCCAAATCGCCAAACCACTCGGGGTCAAGGCTCAAGAGCCTGTTGGACGCCCCCCCTTTCGAGCGCGCCGGTGGGCAAGTCCAGGAAAACAACGCTTGGAATTGTTGGGCATAGCCGAGCTTAAATCAAGCTTGGGCTTGGCTGGTAAGGCACCAGTTCTTTCAGCGAACCAAAGCAGAGTGGGCGATACCAACTCTACATCCGATCAACAGAACCACATTGCCTCGCATCACACTGTCAGTTCGCTGTTTCTCCTAGTCATGTGGCTTGCAATTCCCACGTGGCTGCCCATATGGGTCTGTCTCCTTTTCTTGAGTCGCTACCCCTTTTTGGGGATGATTTTCAAGGGAAACAAACAGGAAAAAGGACACCGATGCCATTTTGGGACCAAAAAAGCCGTCGGAGAACTTATGGAGCCCACGATGCGGTCCCCTGGCTATGTAAATTCTGAGCCACGGTCATATGTTTCTGTTTTTGTTGGTCTTCCTTAAAATCCTCTTGACTTTAAGGTTTTCCAGTTGTCAAGGTTGGGCTGCATGTTGCTGTTCTCAATGAAAGGATTGTGGGCAAGAGCAACTTGACCCGTGGCAGAATTTTTGACCATAAGATGGCCGAGCCACCTGTAGCGGAAAAGCAAAGTCTATGGCATTGGTAACTGTGTCAAGGCCTACCAGCATAGGTGGCCTTTTGGAAAGATAGATGGCCCTGGTAAATGGAATAAACCCCATCTAAACCAGTGCCATCTATTTTTAACCAAACTAAAAAGGACACCTATGGCTACAAGTGCGAAGGCTTACAAAGAGGGAGGCAGACAGGGTCAACGGGTCTTGACCGGTCCTCCTTCACTTTGGCCCGATGGGTCTTCACCAAGCGAACCAGCTGTACCTGACAGCTTGCATTTGCCTATTGCGCGTGCCGGAGGCAAAAGACTCATGTGGATGTGGCAGGGGGAACCTGTTGGTTGTTCCTTTCTTTTATGTTTGTCTTTTTTTCTTTCTCGGGGGGGATATTCCAAAAGCAGTCTTTTGGCACAGTGCGGAGATGGCGCTGAGTGTTAGCTGAGAGTGTAGGACGAAGCAGAAGGGCACCAGTTCCCAGAATGTGATCATGGCGTTGTCCTTCTGGACGTCCCGCTCAATGCCTGCCTGCAGCGGGCCAAAGGCCAATTCAGCCAAAAAAGGGTTCCCCCCAAAAAAGCCAGGCACATATGGAGAAGCGCACCGTCAAACACGCCAATGAGCGGCGGGATTGGATCTTCCCCCCCCCACCACCGGAAACCGCCTCGGCCGCCAGCTGGCGGGCTTCGTTCAGCTGGTCGAGGACCTCCTGGCGCTCCTGCCGCGTCCTGCGGGGCAAGGCGGGGAAGGTGCGGAAGGAACAAGGAACCTCTCTGGGTTGACATAAGAGAACTGTTTGCATGTCTCCTTGCGCCTCATGTTTGGGTTTCTGAACCTTGGGGTTGCCGAGACATGTCTCCTTTGGGCTCATTTCTGGGTCTGGGAGCTGGCCTGACATAGGAGACCAGCTGAACTGTTACCACAGGTGGTCCAAACACTCATTTGTTCGACGCCTCCCCAAATTAAGGGATGGGAAAAGGCAAGCCAGGAGTGCAGAACTCATGGTTCCGGAAGGCCACACCCACGAGCATTGCCCATGCTTTGTGAAGCAGCGGTGCTTCTCGCAGGTCGGGGCCCTAGTGCACACTCCCTCTGGAGATTGAAAAGAAAGGGCCCTGCAGGTGGGCACGTTGATGGCTGTTGAGAGGCATTCGGTATGGTTGTCCAAATCATTTCCAGGGTCGATGACCGTCTCTATGTCGGATTCGGTAACAAGTTGACTTCTTTTCAACCCTGGCAAGTGGGTCGCCACAGCCCTCAAGGCCAGAAGCCTTGAGTTTGGTGCATGAACACAGGAGCGTCCCAAATATACAGATCCTGACTTAAGGCAACGATTTCACGGTGTCATGGTCGGTGCAAAATACGTTTCGATTGTCAAAGGAATGCAAAAAATCCGCTCTAAGCCAGTCAACTTGCTAAAACTATGCAATTACCTACCCAATTGAATCACATTCCAGTCGCAAACAGGTCCCAGGGCCGACCGTCCTGAGCCGCAGCCCGAAGTCCCTCAGCAGCTCTTGCACCTGCTTGCAGTGTGAGCTTTGTGCTCAAAATGTCCTTCTGATTGGTGGTTTGGATTGGTGGTTTGGTGATTACGGTTCTCCCATTAATCCTCTACAAGAACCAACAGTTCACATCCCCCAAACACCAATCCAAACCACCAAAAAAGGTTGCCTGAAAATAGGATAAGGTCCAACCAAATACGCTCTCTTCATCTCTCTTCTGGATGTCTTTCCCATCTCGGCTTCTGACCAGGAGGTTGGTCCCCTCTTGTTTCTAGTCCCTCTTAGTCAGCGAAATGAAATGTCCAACAACAAGGCCGTGTGCCAAACAACAAGCCGATTCATATCGCGCCATTCCTTGCCTCAACAGAGTCGATGTCTCCGCTGCTATCCTTGTCGTAGTGCCGGAACATCTCCTAACAACTTGGCCACGGGGCCCCTCAATCATTCCCAGGGACGCCTTTCTCGGATTACAGGCCGTACTCACAGGGTTCCACCAAGCTGTTCAGAAGCTACCAACTAGCTCTTAGAGGTAAACCGATGTTCTTGAGCTAAATTCCGAGTGAATCTAGGCAATACCTGGCACTATTTTCACTCGGGAGGTCGACGAATTTCGGGAGGCATTTCGCTGTCGCGTGCTTCCACACCCTCCACTCCTCTAGGCTTGCAATCTCCATGGCGGAGAAGCCGGCCTGCGAAACTCCCAGCGAACTTCCGCCCACGTGTCAAACGGTCCGAGCTTGAATGCAAGTGGGAGTCAACGGCCAACCATGATCAAAGCAATCGAAGTAAAACAAACTTCGGCGATCAGCAAATCTAAAATTGCACATCAAGCTAAGAAGAAGAAGAAAAAGAATAAGAAAAAACAGCGAGGCAAACGCCAAAACAAGCCAGCAAACCAAGCTGGCCAAAAAGCTGAGGGTACAAGAATAAGTAAGCAAAACACGACAACTAAAAAGAATGTGCGCATAAGATTTGTCAAACCGCGCGTAGCCAGCAAGCTACGCAAACCACAACGCGATAGGTGCATGCATGAAGTCGTTGTGCAATCAGGCAGACCATACTGACCGCTGGGCGCCGGGAAAATCAAACAAACAATCCAAACTGTCAAGCCAAGCAAACCAAACCAAGAACCCAACCAAGTGAATTACACCAACTGGCAAAACAAGCGAATCATACAATTGATTCATCTAGAAGACCGAACTTTTGCAAAGCAATCTAAGGAACAGACTCGGCCCAAGCAAGTCGAGCAAGCCAAACCCATCATCTCAGCGAGCAAGCAAAAACCGCTGACTGCGAAGCAGAAAAAGGGCCGTGGCAAAGAGCTCAGCAAGCCACCTTCAAGCAGGCCGGGCTGATCAGCAATGGACCAGTATCCAATCAAACTGTCCAGCCAGTCAGCATGTGACACAAGCATGGCAACTTGGTTGCGCGAACAAACAAAGCAAAAAGCAGTGTTTTAGTCCTGAGAGACAAACTAACAAGCAAAAGCAAGCCAGGTAGAGCGAGAACGTACGGCAAACTAAGCAAACCAAATCCACATGCATTTAGCAAGCCACACATAACGTCAAAAGCAAAGGGCCAGCTAAAACTAGCAAACCGCACCCTCCAAGCCCAATATGCCCAGGTCAACCATCTACTATATGCAATCGAAACAAGTCAAGAAGTCAAGAAGTCAAGAAGTCAAGAAGTCAAGAAGTCGAGAAGTCAAGAAGTCGAGAAGTCAAGAAGCAAACAACAGGCAAACTTGGTAAAAACCTAAAAGGCGGAAACTCAAGAGTGGCAAGGTTATCCACAATCCAACGAGCCCAAACCAGCAAGCAAGCGAGATAGCCAAACCCACTGGCAAGCATCGCAGAACGTATCGAGCCACAATTCAAGCAACCCAAAGCCATCAAAAAACGGAGGAGACCAAAGCATAAGCACGCAAAACCATTGAAGACAAAAGGGAGGGGCAACACCGACAAAGCGAAGCAAGTACCGCATCGAGGATTTGCTCTGAGGGGGCCCACCACGCTTTGCGGCGAGAGAAAAAGACGGATCTCCGAGCGCACCATGCGGCGCTCCGCCACCACCTTGTTCCAGCGGGCCGCGTCCGCGAGGTGAGCAAAGTCCTGCCAGAGGCTGAGCCATGGGGGCCCAAACTATGTATCTAAAGACAAACCCAAAGTCTTGACAGGAGGGACTGTCGTCTGACGCAATCTCCGGAAATGCCATGAGTTCTGACATTGCAGAGGCTTGTGACAAGTCGTGCCATCTGCATTATGCCGGTCCTCAAAGTCCAAGGTTTCTGACCTTACCGAGTCCGCACGGCAAAAAATGGCCGCGACAAGCTCCCATGAAATCCGGAAAACAGCTCTCAAAAAGATGTCCCTTTTGAAAATGACCCCACTTAAAGGAGACTCACTTTAAAGTGGGCGTTCGCAAAGTCTCCTCTGAATGCCCTTGGCCCACAAGGGGCAAGTGTTTAAGCCACCAAGGGACATGTCAACCCTGGAAAACGAGTGTCAACGAGCCTTCCTTCATGGTTCAGGGCCGTCTCTCCATCCAGGCACGTGGATTCCGGCAAGCGCATTTGTTTGGGGGCCCTGCTTCACCATGTCCTTCAACTGCTCCGGCTTGGGTGCATCTTTTCCAAGGTAGTCCTGAAACAGCTCATTGCAAATTCAATCTCGTCTGTGCCCCCTGGGGGATCAACAGGGTGATAATCCTCCAAAAAGGGAAGGATCCCTTTCAAATTGGACACACCCTATTAAGCCAGGGCCTAATACTCTTGGGTTGATGAAACTTCGCTCAAACCATTCGCCTCCCAAAACGGAGGCCATACTGCATCATGTACGTGTGTGTGTGTGTGTCTTTTGACACATGTCCCTTTACGAAAGGCTTACGCAGGTTTTGAAGTCCATTCCACTTACCAGAGTTCCTCCCATTCTTCCACTTACCAGAGTTCTGACCCATTTTTCCCACTTCCCAGAGCTCCTTCCCATGTTTCCCACCTACCCTCCATTTTTCGGGGACTGCTCCCGGTTTTTTGCTTCCTCTCTTCTTCTTTTTCCCGGAGCTTTCCGCCGTCCATTTCGGAGCTTCCCCGCCTGCATGGCCGCGAGGAGCTCGGAGGACTGGATGGTCTCCTTGCCGGGCGGCTCGCGTTGCGGCGGGCGGGGCGGTTTCAAGGGCAGCTCGTTGATCCATGGATTTGGCGCCACGTGGCTGGTGGTTCAAAAGCGTTTCGGGGTCCCAGTTTGGGAGGTAGGTGAATTCACCGCCAAAATTCTAGAACCAGTTTTAGTGGTTGGATTGGGATGTTCACTGAAAGTACGGGGTTTTGACCCATGGCCACATGGCGGTGGTGGTCAAAAATAGAGCCGAACCCCAAAATGGGTTGCCCGATCGGTAAATAGAAACATGGGCTAAAATCTGCGGTCTGATTCAAGATTGACCCACACCCACATACGGAATTGTGTCAATCATTGTGAGGGTCTTCCCGTCTAACCCCCGGACGCCCTCTCCTACTCTGGAGCCAGCACTATGAAATGCAGCATCTATGACTGAGCTTAGCAATTTGAGGACGGAAAGAAGAAAGGAAGGAAGGATTGAAGGAAGGAAGGAAGGAAGGAAGAAGGAAAGGAAGAAGGAAGGAAGAAGGAAAGGAAGAAGGAAAGAAAGAAGGAAAGGAAGAAGCAAAGGAAGAAGGAAAGGAAGAAGGAAGAGAGGGGAAAGCGACCTGCGATACAGCGGGGTCTACAATCCTGGTTGCTCAAGGCTGAGACACCTCTCAAACAGCTGGCGCACCTGACCCCCGCGGAGAACGAAAATGTCGTACAACCTGCGCGCAATTCCAATGCAGGGATCGCGACACATGGAATTCAAAAAGGCTCAACGCCCGTCAGGCTTCCCAAGCAATATGCCGTACTATGCCATACATACAACATGTTCCATGCATTCATAGCAGTGTGCAAACCTTTGGACCCAGCTTGATGCTTCGTCAGTACTGATGGCAAGAAGCATTCTGCGGTATACGTCATGAGTACTTCAGCTGCTGAAGCTAAACTATATGCATCCGACAGCTCGTCACTCTACAACGCGGCACCCTCAGCTCACAGTTCTGCATGAATCATTCCCGCGGTGGGAGAGTTGGATTCGTCCCCCGTTGCTTTTGTGCGGAGCGCTCTTCCCACAAATGAACGTCACTTGCAACTGAGCTGGCTCGGCAAAGGAAGGGACCATATGGCTGTGGCTCAAATAAATGTACCAAAATGGCACCTTGGTAAATGGAACCCAAGACTAAAACCTGCGCTTTGCCCTAGCCGTGGAAAAAAAATGAGCCACATCCATATACCTAGCTCCTAGCGCACGCGCCGCATATGGCATACCCAAGTTTGCCTCTTCAGTTCGCTCTCCCGATGGAGGCGCATGAGGCGCAAGAACCTCAATGACGCACCCCCATAAAACACAAAACGCTACTGGCCATGCGTCAAAATCCAAAGCCCGTACCCCACAGTGAACATCCCAATCCCCACCAAAATAGGTTCTAAAATGGGTGGTGAATTCACCTACCCCAAAATGGTACCATTCGTTTTCACGCACAGCCTACTCACAACAGCAATACTGCGCTCCTTCAAGTCCGGCTTTCCTCATTCCGGACTACTAAGTTTTAAAAGGCTGGAATCTCATGGGCGAACCAACTCTGTTTTCAATTTGGCAGGTCTGACCTTGGCAAGTGTAGCCACGTATCTCAGGTGTCCGCTCGTTGCAATCGAGTGTGCCATTGCGGTTTACATCCACCTGCCAGTCATGTGCTGCGGAGCCACAAACCCATCGCTTCAAAGCATCCGACCTGGGCAAGCAGCATGTAGAGATGGTCAATTCCTGCAAGTGGGAATTTGTCTGATGCACCAAAACCAGATCTTCGAATCGAACACCTGCCAGAATCTGCTGTCTGACGTCCTACGCTGAAGCCCAAATACCGGAGCATGTCTCCGAGCTCATGCACGTTGATGTTGTCAGACCTGGAGGCATGGGTGCAATCATCCTCTACTCAGACATGTCATGACAACACTGCATCATGTTTGAATGCACAAAACGTCTCGACTCCCGCGAGAGGAAGGCAGACCTTTTACAAGTCCTTCAAACCTTGGTTTCCATATTAGCTAGCGCTTTCAGGCCGAGAGCCTGAATACATGCTGGCAACAACACCTTGAACCGGAGCAAAGGTCGGGCGACATTCTGCGACCTGAGACAGCCGCTGGTCTTTGTCGAACTTTCGAAAGACCCTCTCCAAATCTTTTAGCTCCTGCCAAGAGACGTGAGGTCACGTGGCTTTCACGTGGCTTTCTGAACAGTGGAAAAGAAACACTTCGGCGCTGGAGACAGGAACGGATTGGTGGCATTGTCAGCTTCATCGACTTGCTCATTCTCTTCAATCCTCCAAGCACTGACTGGAATGAATAATTGTTAAGGGGTCGGTGCACCCAAAAGAGTTGTGGGAAGAGTCTCATCTATTCTACAGAAACTCGCTTGCTAGTAGGGATTCTCCAATCGCCGGCAGCGTGAGAATCCAGCGCTGCAAACTAGCATCACATCAGCACCATGCACCAGCAGCAGCAAAAACAAAATGCCCGCATTGCGCCTCCTTGTTGAAGCCATCACGTTGCTTGAAGACCAGCATGAAGTGGAAAAACTCCTGCTCGTCCGTGATAGGAATTGGTGCCGCCGAGTTCCCATTGGTCAAAGATGTAGACTTCTGAGAAATCAATCCAAGCGGTACTCACTCATTACTGCAGCATGTGCTAAGCCTGTCTGACTCTTGAGCAGGTACACCTCCCAATAAGCGAACAGGCAGGCACGCAACCCTTCTAAAGTAAAACATCCTTCTGCAACCCCCCTCGCCGGCCGTGAAAATTATCTGCAACTTGGGCATTGCAAAGTGGCAGTGGCTTCACTGGCCTCACCCAAATTGTGCGGTCCTCAAAGTCGAGCTCCGCGTCTTGCTCAAAATCCACCTGTGCAACGTGCCTTGCCAATCTCCGATTTGTTGATGTTGGCAGGACAAAACGAATCTCTTTGCTGAAATCATCAACGCCCAGCCTCTTCCAGAACCTCCTTCATGACTTGGCGCATGGGCCGGTATCCCAATGCGTGCCTCAGCCAAGAGACGCATCAACAGCCGCGCGGCTACGTGACATGGCCTTGCGGACTGCTCTGGCCTCGCCTCTCTTGCTGGGTGCGCCGACAATACGCTGCGGAGCTCGGAGGCGTTGATGTTGCCACTACCATCCTGCGCCCACTTGGCTAACTTGGCTAAGCAAAGAACCGGATGAAAACGTGCCGGTCAAGAGAACCCCACAGCGAAGCAAATCGACCAAACGCATCCAAACTTGAGCTAAGGTCAAAAATGGCTTGGCCATCAAGAGCAGAATGCACATCACATCCCTGAAGCTATCGGATGTCGGATATCGATCTCATCCTGGTCGAACTTGTGGAACTCCCTCTTGTACTCTGCCTGAACGAATGCGAGATCTTATGTGTGAGACTCCTGATGCTTTGTGCATTGTCACGTGAGGCTGTCACCTATGTCCCCCAGAGTAGAGCGATAGTCTCCATCAGGTCAGTCCCAGCATTGCCCGCAACCAGGACCAAACAAGAGTCACAATAGGCTGCAAAGAGACGCAACTGTAAGGACCCAGGCACAAACATCCTGCAGTCAAATTCTCCATATCCAAAGATTGACTAGTGCGAGCACGTCTCTTTCCAGAATCTGACCCACCGCACATCCTTTTTCCCTTGCCAGCTTTAACAGACCATGCTCCATGCTCCCAAGCGCCCCCTCACCCGTCCGTCTGCCGTGCGCGCCTGCTCAGCCTGGCGAACGCCCCGCGCAAAGATGAGGAACTCGTGGAAGGAAAGGCCTCCGCTTGAAGCTGAGGCCGAGCGGAGGGCCAGCTCGCGCAGGGCCAATACTCAGTCAAGTGAGCTTCTCTCGTGGCAATACCAGGGTGTGGCTCAAACATGGGGGTCCAAAATGGCACCTTGGTAAATGGAACCAAAGACTAGAACCACGTAACCCCGGCTGTGTAATTTTGAGCCACACCCACCTATAGTCAGTCTGGCGAACGCTTTCCCAATCAGTGATATTCGGGCTCGTGATTCCTTGGCCGCCGTAGGGGGAATCTTCTGGCGCGTTGCAAACTAACAACCCTTGGATTGAATTTTCGCACGATTCAATTTTGTTTTTTGCAAAAATCACCTGGTTAGGACACACTCCGGTGGCTGAGTGTTAAACCCAGGAACTCAATAAAAAGGAAGCAACCCGTGATCAATGGTCAGTGCGCCAGGATGGGATGCGAATTGAACTTCTCCCCTTGTGATATCATCCCGAAATGATGATCATCAAGGCAAATTGCTGGAAAAGATGGCCCCTTAGGGCCATTGGAAAAGAAGACCAAGGAAACAAGGCCGCTTTGCGGGTGATGTCTTTGGAGTTCTCTGGGTCCAATTGACTTTGTTCTAGCTGTGAAAAATCGAAATCAGAAGCTCTGCAGATACCGTTCATCTTGCCTTCATTGGTGCCGGTGTTCCTGGCAGGGACTGCATGGGCATGGACCCTTGCATTGCAGCATCCTGTACGTGAGACATAAACACATTTCTTGAGCGGCTTCTGCATCTGCTGTTCCCTGTTCGCGTTGCCTCGTCACTGGCGGACGACCCACGGAAGCCCGTTCATTTCGCCACACGGGAGGCAGATGCTGGCGCATGCCCCCTTGTTCAAATATTTTGAACATGATTCAGCTTGTCAAAGTTACCATAATCTTCCTGAGAGTCACAGCATCGTTGATAACAACTTGCTCCACCCGCTTTGGAAAATGCGACCTCATCCTCAGCTCATGTTAAACAACCATAAGTTGATACTGGTGCCCAAAAAATGCTCTTGTTGGGGACCCTCCATTTGGTACCCCATAATAAATTCTTGCTCAAACCCGTCAATCGTCTTGTGGCTCACCTCATTCACCCAAAAGCAAAACACCGCCAGAAGCTGTCACAATACATCGACATTGCACGGATATTGTATGCATGTCATGAACATCAATCTACATGTCAACATAACAATAGTCACAGGAGGCTGTAGAAGCAAGCATGAAGCCTAGGATATGATTTTACCTGTCTCGGACGGTCCTCTTGCCGCCAGCAGGATTGTTGCAAAGCTTGTGGCAAATGCCTTGGATGGTACTCTCGTTCTCTCTCTCTCTCTCTCTCTCTCTCTTCCTTGAGCCGAACGCGCACATGTGGCAAACTAGGGGTACCCTTTAGATGAGTGGGTTCCTTTCGAATTCCCAGCCCACAAAGAGTACACTCAAAAAACACAGACCCAAACGCTGCCAGCTGCCAGGTTGCGCAGGGCGTGGGGCTCGGCATGCAGTCCAAATACAGCCACCTGAGCCACCATCAAGATATGCGAAGCTTGTGGGAAAATATAGAGAGTCCCCCGTGTCCCTCCCAAATTCGGGTGGCCCGGCGGCGAAGCGGTCAGATCCCTCTTTGGATGACTGGGATTTTCCCCATTGTCGCGGCGCTTCACCCTCGTGCCCTTGGGCCACTTAAATAGGCATTGCAGTAATAAGAATGGTTATACCACTTACTACAGACTCCGACTGGCTTGCGGGCTCGCGCGCAGCGTAGCAGTGCGACGAGGGTTCACTGTCTCAGCTACGCAGGCCGGGCGAAGCCCGCCGCCGCGCGGAACGGCCTCGTGTAAGCCAGCTGCAGGACATGTAGCCAGCAGCCTCAAGGACGCTGGTCCCGATGCCAATGCCGACCCCAGACACAGGCATTGTTACGCCCAGTAGCGTCGGAAGTGTCCAATTGGCTGCAAGCGCATATAGCTCAAGCCAATTGACCGCAAAACAGTCTTCCTCTGAACCGTCCAAACAGAGAACCCAGTTGCGAAGTTCCTCAACACAGCTGGCAGGACAATGCAGCAGTTGCTCGCTCACAGTCTGGGCAAAGGTCAGCGGCAAGGAAGCCATTCCTGGCTGCAAAAGGGCAGATTGATGCTTACTACGCAATGAGTGCCGGCACTGTAGGCTCATCTCCAAGCGGTTCAAGCACGGCTGATGATCCGCAATTCCAAAACAGATCTCTGGAAGGGCATCTCCAATGTGACTCCGATATTTAATGTCAGCGCGCGCATGAGGTACTCAGCTGAAATGGCTCAGAGCAATTGCGATTGGCCAGGACCGCAGTGCGATCAGCTTTGCTGTTGCGTTCGGAAACCCATTCCTCAAACAGCGTCTCACAAAGTTGCCGGTCAAGATGCGAAGGGATCCAGTTCACAATACGGTCGACAATGCTAGAAACGGCAACCACAAAGCCAGCATTCAATTCGGCGAACAAACGATGGAAGCCTTTGAGTAGCGGCCAGGCATTGGTCATGATCTGAATGGAAAACGTTCCAAGCTGCAAGTGCCAACTCAGGTCCTAGCGCTGAAAGCAAGAGCGTCAGTTAAGCCCTGAAGCTTGTCTGGCACAGCGGAAACTTGAAATTTATCCGTGAGAGGGCAGGTGGGAGCTGCGGCGGCCTTCCTTGGGCGCGCCACATTTTGGGGCACCTGTGCGGCGGCAAGCTGCGCGGTTGTTGCGAGTCGAAGAGTAGTAGTCGTGACCTTGGCCAGCTACTTGCTGCGCCTAGGCATCTTCAAGTTGGGCCTGCAGTTCCTGGCAGCAGTCGAGTAGGCTGAAGGTAGCTCCATGGATGGGGGACAGCACTTGGCCCTCGTAGAGCTGCTTGAAGGCAGAGTTAAGAACGCAGGAGCTGGAAGGAGCCGCGATCTGAATGGAAGGGCGAGAGCAGTTGCCGTAGGTGCTGTGGCCGGCACCAATGCCGTGGAGAGCTTTGGGACAGACACACATCCAGAGCGCTGAGCCGCTTCGAAGACCCCTGGCCGAGCGCAGCAGCGCACAACGGGGAAAGCCCTTGAGTTGCGAGCAGCGTTCAGGGGTAGATATATTAGGACTGTTCGTGGTCGACTTCTAGCTGCAGCATGTAACATTCATGAAGCTGTCAAGGATGGCTGGGCTCAACAGCGTAGTGAAGGCTGCGCTGTAGTAGTGGAAGGCAAGTTGGCAAGGACCACACCGACGATGCTCAGGGGCATCCCTTTGCAAATCCATTGTTGGAACGCACAGGACCTGACAAACCATCCCGCGCACAGAGCAAAAGCGTCGCCTGTTGCGCTCAAGGAAGGCCTTTCAGGGTGTGTAGGGAGATGCCAAGATTCCTCGCCCGTCCCAATGGATGGCAGGGTGGTGCGCACGCTGTGTAACCCCACGGATAGCAGCAGCCCGACAACGGCGGTCTGCTAGTATCGACAAATGAGCCACGCTCCTTGCGTAGAATTGCGGAGACCATCCAAAGAGGTCAGCGTTGAAGTCTTTGTGATGGTTCCTGCGGCCGCCGACGCTAGTCAACAAAACATTCATCAGCTCTGCGTCGTATGAAGGTGCGGTAGGCGCGCAACCTCGGCCACGCGTTGATTTAAAGAACTCGTGTCTCACGAGCGCGGCGCTTTTCCCGGCGCTACACCACGCCCGTGCCCTTGCGCGGCTTGTACAGAGGGGTATAGGCAAACTTTCCAGTGTGCCATTTGGCGCAACACTTTTGGGAACAAGCGTGCTGCTGCTGCTAGATTGCGAACTTCCACGCTCGATGACTTCCGTAGAAGCTCTAACAACAGCCGCAATTGCAGCTGTCAGTCCATTCCAGTTCCCCTGTTGCATGTGCAGTTTGCAACTTCTGGCCAGTTCATCCAGCATCCGAAACAACACGGGTTGCTGTGACGACGTTCTCCTCCGCCAATTCGCGTTCGAACGGTCTCTCTTCACGGCTACAAGGCGCTGCAGAGGCGAGTGCGTACGCGTAAGGACCGCGCCCATTCAACCCGTCTCGTATTAGTCCTTGTTGCGCATCATGCCTTTGCAAGAGCCTTCCTATTGATTCCATCCCATTGAAGCGGATCCATGGTAGTCCTACCCTCGTTCCCGTTCTAGTGCTTTGCAGTCGAGAGGGAGGCAAAATGGCTACGGACTCACTTACTATGGCTGTAAGTCTCCTGAGTGGGTTATAGCCAGGCTTAAGCCACTCCCCCCCCAAGCCATGTGGCCGCAGCTGTGGCCTTTGGAACACCAAGCCCTATCCTGCTTGCCCTTGGACTACTGCGGTTGTCCTTCAGTGCCAAGCGGATGCTTTCACGCAGCTGATACTTTCACACCTACAGCAAGAACGGAGATCAAAGGAAGCCTTAAATCAAATAGCCCCTGGCGGAGGTGGGCAGCGCGAAGCGTTAACCACAGTCTACTGATATTTACATGAATGCCAACTGCCATCTCAACGAGGCTTGGATCAAAACACGGCCGCCTTGCCGAGGGTCCTAAGGTTCCGGACCAAAGCGTCCGCAAGATCGTCACACTGTAGATGTTGCCTGCAGTAATGGTTGGGGCAAACACCGCGAGGTGTGCTTTCGGAGTGCTGAGTCTATTGCCCCCTCTTGAGCTTCACCGAATCGGCCACAAACCCGGAGTAGATGTTGAACATGCGCTCAACCTGCAAGCGACTCAAGGCTGGCAACTGGCCGGCTGTTGGGGCCCGGACCTCCTCTTTTGTGAAGCCCTCTGTGTGGTTGTAGACCTCGGAACAAAGGAATGTGATTGCCAGTATCTTCCGATCAAATGAAGGCACTCATATGACTCCCGGCTGACATGTCCTGCATCATTGCCTTGAGCAAAAGAGGGACCAGCCTAATGCCCAATGTGTTGCAGTTCAGGCTTGCATCCCTGCATCACTAGCACTTGCGGCACTGGTGAATTCGCATCACCTGCATCTTCCGCATGCTCTGCAGGATGGGATATCAGCCACTGACTGAATCAGGCTCACATTCAAAGTGCTCCAGTGGCGAGCCACCGCTGTACATCAAATCCGCCAACCCTCTCTGAAAGGGAGGCGAACGGGAAGGGTGGCAACATGTCATCTATATACTGATCATTACATCATCGTTCATCATTGTGATCTGTTCAAGTCATCATCTTGCAGCTCATCACATGGTGATGTTGCTGCTCTTTTACTTTACTATTGTTTTACTCCACCCTCTGTCGAGAAGCTGTGCCAGTGGTGATGCTGAGGGTGCTGCTGCTGTGATGCTGGCGATGTTGCTGCTTCTTTGCTTTGTTTGTTATACAGGATTCAAAGGGATGTTAGGCCCTGGCAGCGATAGTGGAGATGCAACATGGGCATGGTCACGTCTTGTATCAAATACACTTTGTGTCTAGCTGTAAAGGCGACCTGAGCTTCGTAACGTTGCTTACACCCCAGCATCACAAGTGAATTCGTAAAGACAAGGAGTTCGCTGCGAACCCTACGGTTGACCGCCGACTTCGTCCCGTGCGGCAATGCGCCGCGACCTGTCTTGTAGGTCTTTCTCCCCCCCCAACTCTAAAAGCGTCTGCAAGTGAGCCGCACAGTTCTCACTTGGGGGGGACACCCCTCGCAATGCGTTGCTCGGGACATGGCCCTGTACTGTGTTGATGTGTAATTCTCAAAGACTAATCTGAATATATACAGAAATGTGTGTATATATATATATACTATAATGTGTATGTATACACTATATACTGTAAAATATACTTTGGCAAGCTCATTGGGGCCAGGGTTCCCTTTGGGGGCCTTTGGTTTGCTTTGGTTTCCATTTGGTTTCCCTTTTGGACTGGAATACTTGATATGGACATGCCATGATCAAGGAGGAACAGGGCGTTGCATGTTGTGAGAGCATCAGGGCGGCCAAGGCAAATCGATGGTTGGTAGATGATGCACTGCAGGCAGTTGGCAAATGATGCTGCTCGCTCCAACTTTAGGATGCCGCACTGCCAACATGAATGCAGTCTTGGGAGGATCAAAGTTTCAGCTACGTGCTTGCTGCTGTCTGTTACGCTGAGGATTGGGATCCCACCATAGACTGGCAATGAATCACTATCGATCAGCTCTTGCTTCCCGACGGACTCGACTTGTTTTCATCACCACCATATCGCAATGTGATTCGGCACAAAGGCACAAACTAGCCCATGCAATGGCTGGTCACTCCATGTAAATTGGCTCGAGCTCAAAGGTCGTGTTCTCTTTGTTCCTCTTTCCAGTGGTCCAACATGTTCGAGCTGCCGCTGCTGAGGCCGTAACTGTCATGAAATAGATGAACTCCTCAAAGTTCCTCGGATTCCAAAGATTCACTCCAAGGTTAAGCATGGAGGCATCGCAAATTCCGTACAATCTTGGAATGTGGCACATGCGCAGTCTAAAGTTGTTGCACGTGTTTATTGAAATGATATACCCAATAAGCATTGAGCGCACTGACGGCTCAGAATGTGCCATTGCTTTGCAGTCTATTCACGCCGTGTCAAATCAGTACAGCTTCGTATGCACGCACAAACAGTCTGAGTCGTGAATAAGCAAGGCTCAGCTGGCCATTTCCATCCACATCCACCACATCGAGGGCCTGCCAAAATACAAACGCGCGGAATGACAAGAAAGTCGGATCTGCGCATCGCAGAGTCTACCGACAGCAGTGCTGCAAAAACAATCAACACCTGACGATGCAAGTACTTTGTATCAAGCTAGAACCTGAACACATGCAATCTATACATACATGAACAAATAAATAAATCAAAGGGTTGGGCTATAGGAAATGCTACAGGATACAGCTAACTTTGGGTGTTTTGGGGCCATTTCCTGCAGATGTTCCTGTAACCAAATCCTTTGAATAAACAAAAACTGACCAGACCGACCGACCGACCCTGCCCGACAGACACTTTTTCTGCTCTGCCTTTGAGTCCAGAGAACCCTCGAGGCGCCTCTTCGATCATCTGCCGGACCACCACGATGCCAAGACTCAGAAGCAACCTGCATGCTGCTCAGCTGCTCTTTGCTTGGAGCATGCGACACTCTCCGCAAGCCATTTTCCGCCCTGAGCCCCACGAACATGTGCCGAGTGTGGCTGAAGCCAAACATTTGCCATGAGAACCCGAGATGGCCATCTTTGTCTAGCTTACCGGGTCCTCTGGTACCAGGACCCCGCTGCTAAGCCAAAGGACTCGCAAAGCCCAGCTCTTGCCCGGCCTCCTGAGCTCCGCCACCTCGATCTCCCCACTGCCTCGGCAAGACTCAGACTCCTTGGGCCATGGCTCCCTTAATCCTTATCACTTCACTTTTTTCAGGGGACTCCCCCCCCGGTTGCTTGGATTTACAAAAGAACTATCCAGCCCCACTTTTAGGGGCTTCCCTAGTTTAAGACAAACCCATATTCCTTAAGTCCATGAGCATCCTAACAAGTAAGGCAAGCACCATCCGCATCGAAGGCGTGGAACAAAGACTTCAGCCGCTCGAACTGCCTGGCGCTATACCTGCGTGAGCATTGAAGCACATGGGTGCGTGCATGTGCGCGTGTGCGTATGTCAAACTAGAAAATGGAAATTGGACCCTGACCATGGATGGTTTGCCTGTTGGCTTCCCTTTAAAACTCCAACAAGGGTACCCTCCAAAAGCTTGCGAATCGCTGAAAGGATTGTGAAGCCCAAGGGTCTTAGGCCATCTGTTTGGTTTTGAGTCATGAAACAATGCGGATACCGGCAGCACTGCGTCATCAGGCAGAATATCCTTAATATGTAGGGGAATTATGGATGACTTGGGCGGCGAGCAAAACCTGTGGGTCACTTTTCCATGAACTCCAGGAACTCATTGAAGTCCATCTCCTTGAAGGACCTGACTTCCGCTCCGGTGCACAGCTTTGCACTGGACGTGGACTTGCTATGCCCCTCTCGACCGACCAACTCGGAGCGCCAGAAGCTGCACAGCTGCCTATGGAAAACCGCCGCAAGGATCAAGTTTCTCAGAGCCGGTCGTAACTTGCCCCGCCACTGTCACGAGCTCCTCCTCGGAGGTGACCTTAGCGCGAGCTGAGCTTTGACTCAGCTGTCGGTCTCCCAAGGGTCGGGCGACATAGCCCAGGAATTCCACCGCGCTTCCCAGGTCATCCTGAGGCAGGAAAGCCAAGCCGTGAATCCCATGCCACAAGGAAAGAGTTCTGTGAGGTCCTGCATGATCTCGTTGCCAGATGCGTTGCGGAAGCGGTTGAAGACCATGCGCATGCGCTGCACTGTTGCCTGAGCTGACACGAGAGTGTGGACATCTGTGGCTGATGGTGTCGGCCAGCCATTGGCTCTCCAGCCTCATCCATAAGGTCTGCCTTGCCAAAGTAAGTGTTCTGAATCTGGTCCAAGCCTGAGATGGCAAGGCAGGACTGCATCCCGTCCGAACAGACAATCACAATGTCACGAGACCAACAGAGTAAATGTTTCCATCATGAGTTCAGTAACAATAGATCGCGATAGGTCGTGGATTCACATAGGTCCACATGGGTCCACGGTCCAAATGCCACCTCTGAACCGTTCTTTGCTCTTTCATCCTCTCTCGCTCTCTAATTTCACCACAGTTCCTCCAGCCCCGAGTCCAAAAAGCTCCGGGGAGCAGGCGATCTTGCAGCTTCGGGAGCCCGTACTTCTCATCTTCGCGGCCCTCGCGAAACCGACTCTCAAGCGTCAGCCTGCCAGCACCCATAGCTTGTGCTGTAGCTTGTGCTGTCTAGTGAGCTGGACTTCCATGGAGAAACACTGCATGGAAACCGGCAGCAAACCCAGCTGGTGCCCTGCCATGCTGCTAGATCTTGCTCCATTGCTACGGGTCTCAATGCATATAGTCAGGTTAGCTCATATGCTGGCACATCTAACTACCTTTCTGACCGGTGACCACTTTGCCAGAGCTGCTCTTGCCAAGTTGAAGATACGCATAGTGCAGTCAAGTCTCAGTGGCAGCTGCGTTGGTCCGCATGGAGCTGGTCCTCGCCAGCCTCTTTTTGCTGCCTGCGCCCAGGTCAAGCACAGTGCAAAGCAATCCGAGTCGCTCCAGCCGCTCTGTAGGGCGACCATTCACATGCAGAGAAAGCTTACACTTCTTGATACATATGGGCCATATACCAGCGGCAAACCAAGCATACAGAAACATGCAGCGGCAAACCAAGAAATCACCACTACCTGCAGGCCCAAATTTGATTCCGCCAAACGAAGACGACGCCTTCAAAAAACAAACGAGCACTGGATCTGATCGCCACTCTGCCTGCAGCCTTTGGCGAGTTCTCGCCGTCGCCCGAACCTGCGCTGCCGCTGGTCTGGTTGCCACTCCCCAAAGAGCTGAACATGTTGCGGTTGAAGGTCAAAAAGGGCAACCAGGAAGGGCCTCCACAAAAGCGCGCACCGTTTGCAGGACAGATTTACTGTGCAAAAGAAACGCGAAACGTCTCTTCCGCGCAGCTTAGCTTCTGAGGTGCCGTGAGACCCTTGCTTGCCCTCTGTGTTCCGCCTGGGTCCTCTTCCCAGCCAGGTCTCGAAGCAGCTCGTGGGGAGAGCTCAGGCGTCTCAGGCGAGACACGCCAAGCGCGGTCTTCTTCGAAGCTTTTGAGCGGCGCCCGGGGTGGGCAGCAGCGAAGAAATGGCCATGGGCTTTTCAAAATCCAAAGCCAAATCGGTTAGCCCCCTGTGAATGCCAGTGAACATCCGATTCAATCCAACCACTCAAATGGGTTCTAAAATGGGTGGTGAATTCACCTACCAACCAAAATGGTACCATTGGTTTTGACAACCACTGCCAAATCTAGAACGAGGCTGGCTGGGCCTGAAAACCCCAAAACCCTGCCTCAGGCTCAACGTAGTCGGCCTGAGACAAACAGTCCAGTCGGAATGAATCAGCCCTGGCGACCTCCTCCCAAAGCTCACGTGGTTTCGTCTGGTGCAACGTCGTGCGCCCTAAAGTATCCCCTCTGATGCCCATCTCGTGGCACCTGCTGCATCTCCTCCTCCATCTTTTGTCTGCGCAACTCGGCTGCCTCCTTGGTCTCCGCATCTGCCTTGCGAGAAACAGGACAACGGAAAAGGTCCAAGCCAAGCGACCAATGCATAGGTGTCACCACGATCCCTGGACCATACCCCTTAACGTAAACCTCACACGAAGTGAATCAAGGTTTAATAAAGGCGTCCATGACGGGCAACAAGCCCCAATTAAGACTGGAGTGCCATGTTTCTCTGCTTTGGGTCTGGTTCTAGGGGTCTGTGGGGGAGTCTTTCAGTTCACGACGAGTAATCTGCGCTATGCTTACAGGCACACCCATCGCAATGCACGAGACCACCTCCACCGCCAGCACCGCCACCCCCCTCACCACCTGCCCTCGGCCCTGCCTCTGGTACTCTTGACAACGTCGCCCGGCACCACGCTTCCATGTCAGCTTGGGCCTGCTCCGCCTCCTCCTGCGCAGGCGAGAATCGGATCTCTCTCAACTTCTCCACTGAATCAGCTCCACCTCAAAGAGACACAGGCCGGGGTGACGCAAAGCTGGCCACCGCCCACCGAATGTTGTCCCGCCTCTTTGCTCTTCTTCGGCTTAGCTTTCCTCTGGGCCTTCTTGCCCTAGCCCACCAAAATTTGTCATACTGCGTGCAAATTCAATATGTGTCTGCGCATCTCTCTGTGTGTGCCTGTGTCAATCAATTGCTTGAGTTCAGGCCGTTGGCCATGGGCAATTCAGAAGCGAAATCTCTGAAGCCTGACTCTGTCGAAGCCCATCCAAGCGCTTGGCGAATCCTACTCTGCGAGTATCCCTCGACTCGTCTCGCCTGGCGAAGTGGAAAAACGCGAGTCAATGAGAGGGAAAAACGAGCCGGACTGTCCCGCAATGTCATATTACTTTCCCTTTGGCATCCAGAAAGGGCAACCCTTCAGTAGCATGACACGGGGAGGGAACGCCCTATGAAGAAAGCAGTCTCTTGCAGAAAGTGTGTATCAACGACCCAGGTCGCAGCGCAAGGTCTTTCTGGCACCGCGGTGGCATATCATACGGCTGCCTTGCGTGCCATTCCTATCACGTCAGGGGCGCCGGTGTCCTGCGCTCTAGTGCCGGGCTGTGGTCCTGCGCTAGCTTCTCGATCTCTGGCAGCTTCTCTCCAAAGTGTCCTTGCCACGGCAAGCTCGGGTTCACCATGCCTTGCCTGAAATGAAGACGGGCAACATGTTGGCTGTGGCGCAAGCCAAGTTTCATGAGAACAACCGGCAACCACGTTCACATATTGGATCATGAAGCTTTGGTTGAATTGTTCTATCGTATCACATATCATTTATCATATCACATCAGATCCCATCATATCGTATCATAAGCTGCATCATAAAACTGCATAAAATATCGTACCTGTTACAACACTGTGCTGCTTTCTGTTCCAGCGGCCAAAGTGTGAGTTTCCTTTGGTGATGATGTATCAAATGGCTTTGGATTTATGTATCATAAACTGCATCATGTCGTACCTTTTATAATACTGTGGTGTTTTATGTTCAAGTGGCCAACCTTTCCTCGTGCCCCGCGGCTCCAGCAAACCAAGGCGGCCGGCGGCGGCTCAGCCCAAGGGCCGCTGTGTGGCCTGGGGCGCCGAGGGCGTTGCGCCCTGCAGCTGGCGAGAGACGGCCAACAAGAGGCACAGCACCGCCGCCACCTGAGGCATCCGAACCAGGCAGAAGTATCCCTTTTTGTTTCTTTCCTTCTTCTTTTTTTGGGGGGCGTGAACCCCCACCCTTGTATTTTCCTTCTTTTCCTTCTTTTCCTTCTTCTTTTTTTGGGGGGCGTGAACCCCCAAAGCTTGTATTTTCCTTCTTTTCCTTCTTTTCCTTCTTCTTTTTTTGGGGGCGTGAACCCCAAAGCTTATATTTTCCTTCTTGTCCTTCTTCTTTTTTGGGGGGCGTGAACCCCCAAAGCTTGTATTTTCCCTCTTTTCCTTCTTACTTTTTGGGGGGCGTGAACCCCAAAGCTTGCATTGTCCTTCTGTTCCTTTTTTTTTTTGGGGGGGGGGGGGCGTGAACCCCCAAAGTTTGTATTTGTTTCCTTCGGTTCCTTCTTTTTTGGGGGCTGAACCCCCAAAGTTTGTATTTATTTCCTTCTTTTTTTTTTTTTTTTTGGGGGGGGGGGGGGGGTGAGCCCGCAAAGGTTGTAATTTCCTTCTGTTCCTTATTTTTGTTAAAGGGGGGGCGTGAACCCCCAAACTTTGTACTTTCCTTATATTCTTCTTTTGTTGGGGGGCGTGAACCCCCAAAGTTTGCATTGTCCTTCTTTTCCTTCCTTTCTTTGTTTTTTTCTTGGAGGTGAACCCCCAAAGTTTGTATTTCCCGTCTTTTCCTTTATTTTTGGGGAGGGGAGGGGGAAGCCCCCAAATTGTGTTTTTCTTCTTTTGGTTTCCCTGCCAAAGCACCAAAAAACAGGGGGCGCCCTGAAACAAAAGGCACAACCCGGTTTGGATTGTCACCCGGCGCGGATTGTCACCCGGCGCCCATGGGTTGGGAGTGTGAAGAGGAACCACACAGTTGATGGAACTGGGTAGAAGCAAATGTGAAGAACGGTGGAAAGAAAGGTAAGGATGCACTCGAAGCATTTTTTGGCGATGCGCAAAGCCACCGTATGAAAAAACGGCAACAAGACAGCAGCACGCAACATTGCATTGTTCAGTCTCTTGGTATGCCAGCATTTACTTGCGCCGGCCAATTTGATCTGTCCAAAGACACTGGACGCAGTGTCCTTCAAAGTGGAGCATTCAAGTGCCATCTCTGGGCGTTCGTTCCGAGTGGAGGACGTATGGAGTGTGTGGTATGGGGCTGCCAAAATGGGGGGGGGTCTTGATCTTAAAGGAATGTGCTGGGCCGAAAACTGCCTGGCGTTCAAGCAGTGAGGGATCTTGAAGGATGTGGCCTAGATATTTAATCCAGGAACGTAAAATGGATTGGGTCGGGGTCTGATGGAGAGAGTACTCGGTGGTAGTATGAGGACTTGATTCCGAGGATTTGCCGAAGTGTGCAGAAATGGAGTGTATTATATTGTCTGAGTTGCGATTCTGTGAAAATCTGGGACTCCGCTGAGTAAGTGAGTATGGATTGGACGATTTGTACATAAACGTGGAGCTTGTTTTTGGTGGGCTTACGCTTGTCACGGAGGAAAGAAAGAGCTGAGAAAGTTGATATCTGGCATTGGAAAGGGAGGAACCAGTGCGCATAAGCCATGCCCCAAGGCATCTAGTGGCGGTGGTAGGGAATGTCGGTTCTGAGAGCTGGGCTGCACCGCCACAGAAAGTGCAAGCGCGCGGGTGTCGTGGGTGACAAGAAAAGAGAAATAAACCGGCTGGTTGGAATTGACGGTGACTAATTGAGATTTCTCCGGGTCTTCATTGAAGGAGATGACAACCTGAACCTCAGGGACCCCCAAATCGAATAAGAGAGGAGGAAAGATGATCGAGCTCCACCTCAGTCAAAAGCTTGAGACCAACCAAGGAAAAGAAGGTAGAAGGGGGATGTGTGTGAGTTCGATAAGTCTTCTAGGTAGAAAAATGGGAGTCGAGGTGGAGCGAGTGAGCTTGTCTGAAGCCAAAGTGCTGATTTGGAAGGAGATGGCCGACTGCGGAGGAAATTCGCAAATGTAGCATGGATGTGTAAATTTTATGAATGGTGTTGGCAAGACAAATGGGTCGATGGGGGAGACTTGGAGTCTTTGGATCCACCTTAAAAATCATACCTAAACAGGCAATTCGCCAGTAGTCGGCGGGTTCTGCCCGGAGGAAGGCTGGAGTAAAGTGAGAAAGGAGCAATGTTTGAAAAATTGCGGGGGCGTGTTTATACCACTCGGACGGTACTCCGTCCGGACCGGAGCTCCTCCGCGGCTTCACTCTGCGCAGGGCAGCGTCCAGCTCCCAGGGCTTCGAAGGTCCCAAATCCGCGTTCTGGGGGAAAAAAGGGGGGCCAGCAATTGGAGCGAGGAAACTGGTTTCCCATACTGTGTTGGAAAGGTGGCTCGCAAGCACCTCGCTTTTCTGTAATGATGCGGTGAGCTGTGTCTCGGTGTTGCGGGCAGCTTTAGTCGACGGTCTGTGTTGTTGTCGAAGCATTTTTAGGGTCTTCCATTGCTGCGCAGACGTCTTCTTGGAGCTGTGAGCAGACCCACTGCTTTTTTATCTTTAACAATACGGTGTTTGAGGGCTCTTCGGAGTTTGTGAGGCTGATCCGGGGTGAGATTTTCAGACTGCGCGCGGTGGATCAAATAGAGGGGTCAGTGAGGTGTGGTTTACGAATATGAGCAGGGGAATGGGGAAGGAGGGTGGCTGCGGCTTGTATAGTGTCCTGGAGTTAGTGGGATTGTTCTGCAAGAGTGAGTGTTGTAAAGCGGGTGAGAGCCAGGGGAGTCGAGGGAGGAAGAACGGGGAGGGCGAAAGCATGGCGCCCGAGGGGCGTGAGGGTAAGGACACCCTGTGCTGCGTTGGCATCGGCTCTATCATTGCCATAATGTAAGTGTCCTTTGATTTTGTGGAAAGAGATTCGGTGGGTAGGGTAAAGTTGGGGAGGCTTGGTGGGCTTGGGCTTGGGCAGTGGAAAAAGGTAGTCTGCTGTCAGTCATCTCCATCTTGAGTTGGAGAAAGGCAAATTCCTGCTGTGTGGATTGGAAAAAGCTATCACAGATCTTGAGGAGGTTAAGGAGGTAGAGTGGTACTCCATCATAGCGTCCTGAATGTGCTGTTCTGCTGTAATATGTGGTTGCGGCATCAAGAGTTTCTTCTTGGGAAGGTCCCTGTCAAGGAAGTTGTGTGTGTGTGTGTCTGCGTCACATCTGGTGGCCCCGGAAGAAGAGCAGTGTATCTGGGTGAAGTTGTCCCTGGCTTCTTGGGTTATAGTCAGCTGATGTATCCATTCTATCTCCATAGAAGAAAGAGCGGCCAACAAGTTCTGCATATGCTCATCCATGGGCTCAGTTCTGGATTTCTTGGGTTCAGGGGGGGGTATGCTCGATGAAGAGTCGCTCTGTCTGAACTTCTGCCATAATTATTGTTGTTCCGGGGTCATCGGTACCGTAACTGATTCCTCTGGCGAGGGTTCGGTCTTCGCGACAGGTTCCATGTTTCTGCAAAGCAAAGCGAGGAACAATAAACGGGGCTGGCTTGTGTCAAATGCCTGAGCGAGAAGCATGACAGGCCGAAAAGGAGAAGAGAAAAGGAGCGAAGGGCAAACAATGGAAGGTCAGCCCTGAGCTGACCAGAACTGAAACTCGTGGGAAGCCTCGCCTGGGTTGCATGCCCCATGTGCTGGAAGGGCGGCACGTGAACAAAAAGCACTGGAATGTCAGCAGGACTCGCGTAATGCAGGGACTGGAAGTAGATATAGTTGCAAACATAGCGCCCGGCGTCGGTGGAAATCTCACAGTTCACTCCTCCGAGGGCGCGCTCCGAAATCTGCACAAGGGCAGAGACTTGCTCGCAGACAAAGAATACACGCAAACTTGAAACATGCCCCGCGGAGCTTGAATCAACGATTCAACCCCTTGCTCAAACACGTTCGAAACAGTATTGTAAACAGCCCCTTGGGTTTCCCCTTTAGAGGCAACCAAAGCAACTGGTTGTCTCAAATTGATGTTCTTGCTGCTTCTCGGAAAGGAAGCTCAATGGTTTTGGGCGCGAAGCGGAAAGACACCAGGGATTCGGCTCAGGGTCATCAATCAGGACATGTTCTTCAAGCCAACTCACGCAGCTTGGGTTTCAACAGCCCCTAGGTTTTCCACGGCGACCATGTGCCTACTGCTCTTAAAGGCACGTTTGTTGCAACCCAGCCCCCCACCCACCCACCCAACCATCCGGTCCCCGGTCGTGAAGCTCCGCCAAGATCTCGGGCAGCCTCAACGAGGAGAAGAGCACCGGGGCGGAGTCCGGCACCACGGGCTCCCCGCAGCACTGCCAGCCCTTCACGTCCGGCACCCGGAAACTGGCCTCGTTCACGCCCCGACATTCCAGGCTGATGTGCCTAACGCAGAGTTGATGGCTAGCCGGGGTTTTACATGAGAGGGATGCTTCAGAATGGGAAGCACCCTTCTGATGGCGCCCCTTTTGCGCGAAGATGCCTTTTGAAATGGAATATTATTCATATCCTAGGTCGAAGGGTCCCCTTTTTTGGTGGTAAAGGGACACCAAAAGGACGACCCCCCCCCATAACAAACAGGATACTCATGCGACAAGAAAACAAGTCAAAGCCCCCCCTCTGCCAGGGCACGGGCGATCTCCTGCTACACCCAGGTGCACGATTGCCGCTGCACTGTCAGGCAGTGATGCCCTCCTTTCTCGCAGGTGTTTCACCAGCTCTGGCACCTGGCTGCGAAGCGATTTTGAGGCTCAGATGATGATGGTGATGATGATGATAATGACGACGAGGAAGACAGCAAGGGAGATGAATCAAAAGGCACCTTTTGCTGGAGGTGCTGCCACAAAAGATGACTTGGAGAATAACACCAAGTGCGCAACTAAATTGGGCATGCTGTGCCACTTCAAACTCTGCATCAGAGCCTATACTGATCAGACCGTGCGGTCTGAAGTAGGCGCATGCCAGCCGTCAAAAACCCGCCATTCAGCCAAGCAGGATAGCTTATTTGAATCGGGCAGCAGATCTGCCAGCCGGCAAGTCAGCCATTCATCTGGCCATGGGTCAAAAGCCCGTACCCGCAGTAAACATCCCAATCCAACCACTAAAATAGGTTCTAAAATGGGTGGTGCACCTACCCCAAAATGGGATCCCATTGGTTTTGACCCACAGCCACCTAATCAACCCGCGCGGCAAGCAAGGCCAGCCAGGCAGCCAGCGGCAAGCGAGCAAGAAAGCCAGCAAGCGAACGAGGGAACGAGCGAACGAGCAAGCGAGGGAGCAAGCGAGGTAATGCCACCAAATTGGTTGCGAAAGGGAAACAACGCTTGGTGCTCTTGTTCTGCTAAGTTGAAGTTGTTTTCAGCCAACCAACCAGCAGAAAAACCTATAGGCCCAACAGCCTGGAGACCCGCCCCAACTGAGCCAACTTGGTTCTCGGATCAACGCAGCCTCTTGGTTCAGAGCATGTTCTGGAGAATGTTGATGTGTCGTTGTTAGCTGGGCGGGAGTTTCCCGCAAGCCAAACGACCTGTATCGCGCCACAGTCAGTCAAGTGAAGGAAAAATACTGGACCCAATGTTTGTGCTATATGCTTCATTAGTCCTTCGAATCAGGTTGGCGGCTGATTCCAACACAAACACAGGCTGAAGCGAGCCATTGTCAGTGGTCCTGTATCAGCACTACAGCTGTGATCACATTGTCACCAGTACGGTCATCTTGCAATACGAGTGCGGTTGTGCAAAAGTACACACTTCTGACATGGAGAACACGGGGAACATTATGGAAACAGTCTCGCCAATCCTGCTGTACGAAAAATAAGCCCGACACCCTCCCAAACCTGAGTTTTGGCTCAGACTGTTGGGAAGCAAGAACAACTGTCCTGAACTAGGATGCAATCAACCCTTTGCCCAAAAAACACCTCTTGGCACTGTGGCCGAACCGGGAAAAAACAAAAGCAAAAAAACACATCTGCCCGTGCGCCCCTCCGCCCCTCCGCCCCTCCGCCCCTCCGCCCCTCCGCCCCTCCGCCCCTCCGCCCCTCCGCCCCTCCGCCCGAAATCGTCTCTCACGCGTCTCTCTCGCCTCGGAGCGGCAGCACTCCGCGGAGACCTCCAGGGCCCTGAGCCCCTCCAGGACCACGGCCGAGGCCTCGAACTCCGCCAGCAGCTCCGCCGGAACACCCTCCGGGCGCCGCCGCTCCACCACGAACTTCCGCAGCGTCTCGCAGATGGCGCTGGTGGGGTTCTCCTGGAGGAGGCGAGTGTGGGCACCGAAACCACAAGCACGCGCTTAGAAAGGGGGAAACAAGGGCCACATGCTGTTGATTGGCCAGCTCATAACCCACAAACAGAAGCTGCCTGAGAATTTGCCTACCAGCCACTTGGCGAGCCACGCGGTGCTTGACACCTTCTTTGGGGGATCTTGGCTCCGCATGCCGTGAGCATGCCGTGAGCATGCCGTGGAACCCGTAAATGTCCCATGGTTCACTGCTCGCCATGTCTTGCAAATCGCGTAACAACGTACGCCGTCTCCTCCACGCCCATGAAGGGCCCAAAGCCGGTCACGTAGATGGTCACCGGCCGCGTCTGCAGCTGCACGGGGCTCCGAAGCCCCCTCAGCCCGAGGCCACGCCGCTCGCGCAAGCATGGCAGAAGGCCCACGGCCACGGCCAAGGGCTCCAGGCAGTGCATGGTGGGCTGTAACCGAAACCGCGGTTGAGGCCGACTCAACCCTTGAGCCGTTGATGTTGCAGATTCGCAGGTCTGACTCTGGCATCCGCCATGGTTCAACTCTCACGCAGGACAAGAGTCCTGTTTCTATTTTGCTCCTTAAGGGCCTCCTTGACGAGTTAGGGTCTCTAGCATGTTGTGTGAACCTTGTCCTCTGGCGTGCATGTGCAAGATGCAACAAGGGCCAGCCTCTGTTCTGAAAGTGACATGCCTTGGCTCCGAGGAAAACAAGGGCATGTGCACCACGCCGCCCTTCCCCTGAAGAAAACTTGCAGCAATCTCCACTAAAGTGGCTCAGCATCCCACAAATCTGCTTTGCTGCCCTGGCAATCTCGATGAGGGCGTAATGCTCCTAACACGCAGCCTGGACCTTGCACCAAATCCTTACCTGAAGAGAAGCTTTGGAAAGAAGGGAGCATAGAGGACAAGCAGTGTGTGTGTAGAGCAAGCAACAATGAGCCATCAGCCCAAATATCAAGAGCTACCCCTCCTCGATGGAATCCCTCTTCTTCATCTCCTGTGCATCAAGGCCAACCGCGCTCTTTGCAGCTCTCACAGACTTTTCGTGCGACTTCGCAGCGCCAGTCCTTGCGGTCCTTGCGGTTCTTGCTGCTGCTCCTCACTCCTGGGCTGGCACGGCAAAAAATTGGGTGTCAAGCACAATGTGCTGCAGGGCATTCTTGCAATGGGAACTGGTGAATTATATGGAGCAAGACTGCTCGGCATGTGGCATTTCGCTAGACTCGTGTTTGCCAAAATCGTGCTGCATCAACATGTGCGGAACTCAACGAACGCCTGGAAACTTGGCAAGACAAAAGGGGCCGTGCCTTTTTGAAGGGGCCCAAAGAATTGCTTATTTACATTTTGGTTTCCCTTTAAACCCACAAAACCAGGGGTACCCGCCCACCCTTGAAAAAAGAATCATATTGCGACATGGTCCAAAATCCTGAATGGAAGGGGGGCATGGTCAGAGCCCCCGGCCATTCCTTCCCAAACCACCAACAAGGTCTCAACATCCCCTCACCTTTGGCGTGCAAACGGTTTTATTCGGAAAGTATCCAACAAATCTTCGGAAACTAACACAGAGGAAAATTGGGAACTAAAACGGTCTGATTCAGAAAATAGAAAGTGTGATTCGGAAACTACCAAGGCCCGATTCGGGAACAAGAAATATTCGGATACTAACAGGGTCTGAATTGGAAACCAAAATGGTCTGATTCGGAAATTAGCCAAAGAGAGCTTCACATTTCCCCCCCCATGCTGCAACCCGGTTGCTGAGTCTTGGCCGTTTGAGTTTCTGCATCGTAGTTGCTAGATTCCGAAGCTCAGTTGCTGAAGACTGATTTCCATCGGTTTTGTCCCCCTTTGTCCTAGCATCCACAAATCAGACCGAGCCCGGCTGTCTGCGATCCAGCGGCTTGGACTTCTCTCCGTGCTCTTGGCCTGGCGCCGAGCTGTCGCCAAGCGGATGTTGGAAGGAACCTCGTTCCCCCTATCCCTCTCCCAAGACGGCGTCATCTGGCTGTGGGTCAAAACCAATGGTACCATTTTGGTTGGTATAGAACCTATTTTAGTGGACCCATCCGCGGTTGCCTGTTCACAAATGGATCTGAGTAACAAGCGCGAATCTATCAACGAACATGGACATTGACTACGGAACAGCTCGTCGGCAAATTCAACACAGTATCCTGATGTCCTCAGACATGATTCAGCAAATGTCATACCTCCAAGTAGTGTCCTCGGTCAGGGCGCAAGAGCACCTTAACCTCTCCAGACCCCTCGCAGGCTTCCCTTGGGCGCAAGCGCCCGGAATCCGCGAATCCGCCGCCCAAAACGATCGCAGCAGATCCATCCCCTTTCGGCTGCCTGCGGCTGCGTGAGCGCCAACCTGGTCAATGCTCACAAGCTGGTGCCGCAAACGGCCGTCACGGCTGGCTAGTTTGGGAAAAACCGAGCAAATGAACATGAGCTGCTGTTGGTTTGAACAATTCCACTTGTCAGCCTTGCCATACTTGTCATTTTGCGCATACGCGCAGACATACAATGTGCGCAGGTCCAGCTGAACCTCATGGGCAGGATCTTCAAAGGAACCAGCCTGCAAGACGGCTGCACGAAAATGCTAGCAGGGCGATAAGATAGCCTTTCCTTGGGATCCTCTTTCTGATTGATACACTGGCGTCCGGTTGCCTGGCCCCCTGGCAGGTGTCAATGCACTAACCTGTGGGTTCCATTGAGCCATCATCCCACAGCATCGTCACCGCTTGTGAGCCCCCTCCCAGCCTCTGCAGCATGTGGTCACAAGCCTCAGCCGAGTCTCTTTCCTTCAAGAGCAAAGCTGACACTGCAACCTTCCACGAGCTGCGCTCGTTCGGCAACAGGGTTTGGGGTTTAGGGTTTAGGGTTTCAGGGTTTGCAAGTACCCCTACGGCACAAATTCCAATGGAGTCTCAGGCGAGTGCCTGGCGTCTCCTTGGGAGAAACTGCTCGGACACAGATCGGCTCATCGACCTGTCGTCCGTCGATCCACGGTCGATCCAACTTGCCGGGAGCCCCTGCTGCATCCCCACAACCATAGGTTGTCCGAAGCGAAAACACGAAAAAATTGAAAGCCACGGATTTTGCGGAAACCCAGAAACACCCTCCTTGTGGATGTCGCCCATCCAAGGCCCGACTGACCTGGGGCTGGCCAGGTGCTCTTTTTTTGCATCGGCCCTGTCTGCAATCATCGCCAAAGCTACTAACACCACCATCTCCATGGTTGCTGTTTTTCTTTGCATCAACTTTTGCGCCCTTTGTTGTTTCTTTGTAGGTAACTCAACGGCTTGTCCTTAATCCTCCCAATCAACGGCTCTCGTCAGGCCCAGGCTGGCAGCCGCTGCCATCAGCAGCGCCTCTGAGGCTGAGAGCTGGTTGTCCAGCCTCAGAATCGCTTCAAAGCCGCTTGGTCCACATGTTGATCAAAATCCATTTGGCCGTGGGTCAACGCCAATGGTACCATTTTGGGGTAGGTGCACCACCCATTTGAGGCTTTGCTTTAGTGGGGATTGGGATGTTCACTGGGGGTACGGGGTTTTGACCCATGACCATCTAGGGCCCCGAAATGACCACAGGTAACTCTTCCCATGTGGGAAATATCATCTTTGTAGTTGGTTTTCCCCAATGGTCATCCCATGCAAACGACCTTTTGATCGACCCCCACATCTTGGGCGCAGTGTGTGCGAGCATTCTCATTGCCCTGCCCGTGTTTGTCAAGGAAAGCGCTCGTAGGATCCATGTATGCACGTACACGTAACATGTATACTTCGCGCACTTGTCATATCATCCAAATACGCCGCCCCAATATACGTGAAGAGTCTGATCATAGAGCTGTTTCCTCTGTGTACTTGGGCAACTGTCTACCTGTGCATGCACCCTACCCAACCAGCCCTTCTCCTGCACTCTGTCAATGGTCAGTTTTTTTTTTTTTTACAAATGCATTATATATACATATGTCATACATATACATGCATACCGTGTTTAAAGCCCTAGCCAGCCTCGACCAACACTTAGCCAACGATTTGAGGCCAACCATTTTCCTGCGGAGTCCAGCCCATCTCCCCAGATTGGTGGTTCATCAGAGCCCCACCCTCGCCAGCTGATGTTGGAAACAAAAGACATCTTTCCCACCATTCAATCCACCCAATTCCAGAAAGCCCCTGTGTGCCAATGGGGACAGCTGAGCACGTCGGCAAGAGTGGCAGCTTAACAGCGCTGGAGGACATGGTTACACCTGCCATGGCACCGATGGAAACAAACGCTTCTCATTGAAACTGTTGCCCGTGTACCGCAAAATCGGCTGCTGTATTGTCACAAAAAAAAAACTTCTCCGGGCATGCCGGTGTTCAGCCTACTGAAGGTGCTCAAGTTTCTCATGCCAGTCTAGAGCTCTCTGACACTTGGCAGAGTTAAACAAGCAGAAACAGCTCACACCTTCAAGCTCTCACATCGTTCGCAACATGATGTTCAAAACATCTTTGCAGCGCCGGCTTTGTTGCAAAGTACTTTTTAAACGTC